AAATAATAATTGTGTTTATATATTGTATGAATAAATGTAGAATATGTCGCTATAGATCTGCACATTACTATAATAAAGATTTGCTAAAGCACCGGACCTCAGATCTGTTTATAAGGGATTTTAGCTCCAACCTCTTTATGTGACAGAATATCAAGGAATTGGACAGGTCTTCAGCATTGTAACAATAATTGCATATAAATACTTTATTTCGGGACTTAACTGCTAAAATATAACGATGTCATCAAATCCTCTACCAGTAAGAGCATGAACATCATCCAAAACGCCTCTGAATAGACACAGACGCAGTAAATCTCTTCGCCTGCCACACAGCACATAAAATGTCTCCCTCAAAATGGGCTCTTTGTGTGGTCAAGTGAATACGGCCTGAAGAGTGGACCGCAGCACGGTGACTCTTTTCCTGTTTCCTCTGTCTAAAAGCGGACTGGACTGAAATGGAGACAACCCCCCCCCCCCAAAAAAAATACTCAAAACCAAGAACAAACCAGCGATGCATTCTAAGCCGTAATAAGGTCAGATGATTGATTCCCTTCGATGTTTAATATACATGATCAAAATAGCAAAAGACATTTATATTGTTCCACTGCCTGATGCAGATTACTTTATTCAACTGCTGTTGTCAAAATATGGGCTGTTTTGCAAAGGTACCAATTTCTCTCGCCACGCTGGTGCAAGAAATAACCAGATACAGAAATCCTCACATCTTCCGCATCACCTCGGTCTGACCCTTGTTTCTCATTTTCAGCATTGTGTCACGCTTCGAATCCTCCCCTCCGAGTCTCGAGCTCCATCGTGGGAAACATTTCACACTACAATAGCAGCAGCCGTACGGTTTGCCATTTGGATGCCTCGTGCCGTGTTTTCTTTGGCCATCCGAGCTGTTTTTGAGAGTCCGACCGAGAACGAGCTGAAGGGTCTTTTCCCCTCCGTCAGTACGGCCCCTGCTGCAGAGAGAGAGAGACCAGGACTCAGCTCATCGATCACTGTGCACTGGGAGGGAGGACAGACACTTTGGGTGGGATGGGAGAACATAACAGAGACATGTACATTGTGGATATGTGTGTGAGGCTCATGTATGTCTAGTATTTGCTTGTGTGTGTGTGTGTGTGTGTGTGTGTGTGTGTGTGTGTGTGTGGACGAGTAGATAAAGGAGGTTCCAATAAAACACGAGCGGGGTGTGTTGCAGGCGGGACAAGATGTTTTCATGGGTAAGCGGGTCAAGGGGGGAGTTTGTTAGTCCGTCTGGAAAGTGATAAAATGTGCACACAAGCTTGCATGGACACACAACAACAGAGGAAACGTGCTCCGTCAACAACAAGACGAGACAAGTATAAGAGAGCGAAGCACGTACACACTCGGGGAGGGGGGAGGGGGGGGGCTGATGGATTAAGGCTCTCTCGGCCGCGGAGCCCCTCTCAGCGGGGCTGGCAGACTGAACAGAGACCCCGTGCAGGCCGAGGGGGGAGCCAGAGGGACGAATAAATACAAAGCTGATGGAAAGGGCCGCGTGTGGGACCGCCTGGCCGGCAGTAGGGCCCAACCCTGGAGGTGATGCGGAGCCGAGCAGATGACCCAACAGCAGGGAAAGCTCCAGGATCATTGAAGGCTTCGGCGTGGCCATTTGATCGGTGTTGAAACCTCCGACTGAAAACACCTGACACAGCAAGCTGCTGCGTTTGCCCCCCCGCCCCTCGTCTGGAAATCTATCCGGGCCCGATTGGTGGGAGACGGCTGTTTTCATTTGGAAAAGTCATGTTGCAGCGGCAAAAATGAAAGTTCACAGAGTAAAAGTATAAAGCTCATCTACTTCAGGTTCCTAGAACAAATGGTGCATTCATTTTACAACGTGAACACCTCATAAGAGCTTCAGGGAACAGAGCTGCTTCGACACATTATCACCTTTTTAAGTTGATGTATGGTCATGAGAATGTGAGCATAAAGTTTTCTATTTACACATCCAGGGGATACGGAGCAACATAGACAGGTTGTGTTTGCATCTATTTGACACTTAAAAGTCAAATATTAAATCAGCTGTGTTTTCGGTGTCTGCGGGGGGGAAATATTTGGCTGTTTAACAGATAAATTATTCACTACATTCACCCCGCCAGTCCTTAACTGTGTCTGCTGCGTGATGCAGAAATCCGTGAAATGACCATTTCACCACGGAAAAAATGTGATTGTACGTATGGCAACAAAACTACTTTGGACTTTGACTTCCTTCTCCACTCAGGCATCTGCTCATTTTAATACTAGTTATGTTTAACTGCGGCCACAAGTGACAATCTCAGGATAAGAGAAAAGGTTTAGGCTGAAAAATGACTTATCCCATCACGAGTGGGATAGTTGGACCGTGTATTCTTACTGGTGACCTGCAGGTCTCCACCAGTGGACGTGACGACACGTGTCCTGCCATTTACTGGTCTTGGATGTGGACTGTTTGCCCCTCACAAATCAGAACCACCTGCCCTGGACCCTGAGAACTGGCTGATCTTCTGTCCGGACCTCCTTGGAGAGAGAGAGAGAGAGAGAGAGAGAGAAAGAGAGCCTTTTGTTTGGACAAACGTCAGGACCAGCTCCGGGGCTCTTACATGAAACAAAGAGGGAATCTTACCCTTATCCTGCAACCCGGGGCCCCGTCACCTCCCTTCTGGGCAGGGCCCAACATCTTTTAATTACGTGCAGGAAACTCCTGTTACAAAGGACACTTTCTTAGTCAATCTGCAGGGAGGCTGCGAGGAGTTCTGGGGTCACCCTTCCTCTCTTTTCTCTCTGAGTGTGTGTGTGGGCGGTAGGTGTATCCACTAACAAACGAGCGAGCATGCCACCCAGACACTCAGGTCACTGCTGACGCTCCTGCAAAGCCAAGGTGTCACCTGCTCCGTGAGTGCGACCCCCCTCCCCATTCAACACACACGTCGACATCAAAACGCCACAGCTGGAAAGCAAAACAATTAGCAACACATCTCATGAACTTCACAAAGAATTAGAATACTTCGTCAATATTGGTAATGTTTCACATTAGAGTAGAGAGCTTTTTTCATACGCAGCTTCTTAGCTCCGGTGGTCTCTAACTGACAAGAACTCAGGCTCTATTTGTTATCTTTAGGCCCAATAAGTCCATCTGGTTTTGGTTTGGCTCCTCTGGATCGCCCCTGGAGATGTGGATGGAGGGGACTCAAGGGTGGGGAGGGGTGGTGGAGGGGCAGTCCGAGGAGGCTTTTTTCTTCTCTTAAATTTAATTTCTCACCATTCCAACATGGGCCTTGGTCCACGGATAGAGCGACAGCTTCAACCCTCAGGCTCATGAAAGCTATATGCAAAAAAAAAAAAAAGAAACGAGAGGGAAATACTTGGAATAAATCAGAATCACCTGTTTTTCAAATGGCCTGAATGTTCGGTGTATTGGCTATTAACTTATTCTCTCTCTGGCTGGGTTTTAATAGAGGAATGCATGAACCCTCTATGAACCCCTTCGGATCTGGAACAGTCAGTTTGTCCCACCACATGATGTGTAGCAATAAATAAATAACAGGCTAAACAAAGAATACACATCTCTCCAGGAGTAATGTTATTGAAGGACATTTAGTGTTGATGGTTATACATGTACAGTAGCCAGATCCCCATAAGTGACTTTTGGCCAAAGTTTTCTATATATTCTTTTACAACCTTTTTTTCAATTTTTAAATTAATAAAAAATGCGAAGCAAAAAACAAAAGTAAATGGAGCATTTACATTTTTTTTACAACATAGTTTTTTTTTTTCCTTTTTTGTTGGCTTAATACACGATTCTCTGGAAACATTCCTGTGGTGGTTTTCCATATTTAGCTGGACATCTCTCCTCTCGTCCTCTTCACAAAGGGAGCTCAAGTAGATTCCAGGTTTTCATAAAGTTGTCTCTCATACATCTTGTCACTGTCCAGTGCATGTTCTATAAATAACAATCGAATGAAAACAAAAATAACCCCAAAACTGTGAATTATTTTGTTGGACCGTACAATTGTATGGGCCTCACGGTCTCTAAACTACTGGATGTAAAATGGGTCAACTACTGGGTTTCTATGCTTCTTGGTGGTACAGTTTGCTTTTCTGGTATTTCTGTACAATTAAATACCTGTTTCCTGTGGTACTCCCCAATAAAGTCTGCAATTATCCTTGACTAACCCTGCGGGCCCTGTAAGTAAAGACCCAACTGTCTTTAAAAAGATAGAGCAGGCTGAAAGTTGAGGTATACTTTGTGGAAATGTATATTGAAATGTACACAGGCTCCTCACAAATGTCCTCGCTGTCAATCTTTTTCATTGTCGGTGTCTCAGTCCTTCCTGTGACTTCTATAAAAATCTGATAACCTTTTTTTCCCATGTCTGAGTCAAAGCCCCGTTCCCCTACATCATCATCATCATCATCATCACCGTGTATTTACTCAGGGGGGAAAAAACATATTACAACCACTGGCTCCCTCAGATGCTCTTTATTAGGCTCCTTGATCAGCTGTAATTTCATCCTCAGAGGGTGTTTGTGTATTTTAAGGGTTGAACCGTCCTGGCTTAAAATTGTGAAACATTTCAGAAAAAAAGAGCAGAGATAGAAAAAATGCTTCAGGAACAGTGTGTTTTCCTCTTAGTCCAACTTTAAAGACGCTCCTTTAAACTAAAGATATGGAATGACGTGGAATCATGCAGTTTATTAAGGAAATGGTGTAAAACCACCTCAGTTGTGTATCTGTGAGAATTGCTACCTATTCACAAGCAGTGTCCTGTTTAACTTTAATAAAATAACTAATTTGTCTAAAGTGGTACACTGTGATCTCGTAAAAGGGGTAAAAAGGGTCAGAATCTCTATTGGATACTGCAATAACAAGCTATTCACATATACTTTTTACCTCTTCATTCAAAGGCACATTCGTTTTCTGTTTTCATCGACACTGGATTCTATGATATCAAGCTGAACTTCAGACAACAGTAACAAAAGGAAACCCACCATCCTTTGATGCATTATTACAGTTTAATGGCTGTGTGCACACTTCACTAAGACATGCTGCATTTAAAATGGTTAACTCTGTGAGGACGACCTCTTTCACTAGCACAACTAGTTCAACATCAAATAAAGTAACATCACACCTTTAAATTCAATTAAAACCACGTGAATGTAGTTCATACAACATTTCATCAACTTAAGCCACATTAAGCAAGAAGTGTATTACTTTCCGTTAATGAACCTTCACAGAAGGCGTGAACATTTTGATTTGTGAAAAGGCATCTTCAGAATATGCAACTAGAGTGAAAAATAAGATTAAAAAAAAGTTATAAGTCCATGTTTCTAGCTCAAGCTTTAATAATGGCTGATAAAATTGACACATGCAATTAAGATCTACAATTGTGCGCTAGGCTGATAAGACCTTAACTGTTTTGGTTGGCTTTGAAGTTAAAATAGTTTTCCTTCGTAAACAGCTGGACAAAGCAAGAAGAAAATGTGGCTGGATCTGACCAGCCTTTTCTAAGGAACTAAGGTAGCTTCAGTTACGATCTATGTTTAAATAAATAACATTATAAAGTGCACATGCTACAGCTCATGACACCCACCGCACAAACCCCATTCTGTCCGTACATACAATACACAGCCACCATTCTCCAAAATATGTGACATTTAGTATTTTAAAACCACAGATAAGCATTTACTTACAGCCCGAAAATAACTTTTCTTACTAGATAATAACAGGGTGGATAAATGCAACACATATTAATTCAGTCAAGTGATACAAATCATGCTGTGGCTTTCAAGCAAAAGCAATGAACAATAACAGCACAGTGTATTTGGTTATAAGTGGATATTTCAAAATGAAGCCGATGGTAAAATGTAGACCTCAACTTTTAAAGGCAAAGGTGCGACACATGATCAAACTGTTACATGATAATACTAAATGATTCAAAATACTGCGTATGAGGTAACAAATAACAAACACAAACAACCGAAGTAGGAGACTTGCCATTAATGAGAATAAAAAATGTGTAATCACATTTTGATGTTATTTTTTACTTACTTTTAAATGTTCATTACTCATTAAAGTCTCATTTAATCCCAATTAAACTAGATTAAATTAAAAGTGCTTTTGACTGCCTGTTGTTTTTGTGTATCACTGACATAAAACACAACGACAGTGGATCAGGAAAAGGGTTTGTGGGGTATCCTGAATTTTAGCCCATTTCACAGGTGCATGGACTGATTCCTGATTCTTGATTCCTGATTCCTGAAGATGAAGGTAATTTGCGTGGACGGGAAGGTTGGTCCGAGTGGCCACGGCTGAAGCCGTCACATCTTTGTAGCCCTGAAAAAAGACAGTGTACTTTAAATGGGTGTGTGTGTCTATATATAGACACACACACACTAAGAATATATATATATATATATATATATATGGCTTGTACTAAGTTTCTAGTGACTTCTATTCTGCCCTGTAAAACTTTGAGCCATGTCTCCATCTTGTGGATGTTTTGGGTGCATATATATTTCGGCCTGTTTGAAATAATGATCTCTTTTTGCAAAAAATATGAACTTGAGCAGCTCAAACAGAATAACTATTAGAATTATTTTGAGCTAACAGAAGAGGGACCAACCTCAACTGTCAGTAGTCGCCACACACGATGAACGCCGTGATCTGCACATCGTTTTCTGTGAAATAAAGCAAAGAAAAGAACTCAATTAATTCTAGGTTTCTCCACATTAAAACAAACTTTAAAAAATGTGAAATGTTGATATGATACTCAGAGAGTATGCATCATATTTTTAATGGATATATTATATTTTCCGTTTAAATATAAAGTTTTTTTTTTAAATAGTTAAAAAAATATATATTATATAGTTTTTTGAAGAACAATGAAGGTTGAATTTGAATGCTGTTTTGCAGTGTTTTTTGTTTTTCACGTAGTTTCTGACAAATGCAAGCGAGGACCATGAATGTGAACCCTACCTTTGTATGAAGACGATGATGGAGGACTGGGCTACACAGCCAAGGATGCCTCAAGGCCTCAGATGCCCCTATCCTCCAACTGATGACACACACACACACAAGGACACACACTGTATGTACTTTGTTAAAAACCACCACACAGCACACACAGAGAGTTGCGATATTTACCTTTTATTCACAATGAGGAGTCTGGAGATGAAGTCCTTGGCTTCTTCAGACGTGTCCGTAAACTCCTGCTCCTCAAAGTTCCACTTGCAGGCCAAGATGTTGTTTAGCGTCTCGTTGTCATCGTCGCCGAGGAAGGGACACAGGCCGCTCAGACTGAGAGGAAGATGAGGTCGGATCCTCAGCATTAGCTTGCGCACGTGTGCGCGCGTGTTTTGTGTGACCACTTACAGCATGTAGGTGATGACGCCGAGGCTCCACATGTCTGTGTTGAACGACACAAAGTCGTAGTTGATGACTTCGGGAGCGAGAAACTCCGGAGTGCCAAAGTTCACTCGTAGCTTCTCTCGCGGTTTGTATCTAATGTCGGGGCAAAGGGGACAAATTCATTTGGTTTTGGTTTTAAAAGCAGTTGATCAATGTGTCAAGTGAATGGAAGCAAATGCTGGTACTTACATCCTAGCAAGACCAAAGTCGATGATTTTGATCTTATTTGTGACTCTGCTCACACACAGAATGTTTTCTGGCTGAAATTTTGAAATAATTGATTAAACTTTGAGAATCTGTTACATCTTCTTCTTTTCTTCAAATAATACCACAATAAACATGAATGACTTTGTTACCTTTAAATCCAAGTGCAGGATGTACATTTTGTGCATGTGCTGCAGGCCTTCGCAGATCTGTCTGATGAAAAGAACAGCGTCCAGCTCCATCAAAGTGTAGTTTTCATCAATGATCCTGTCAAACAGCTCCCCTCCACCGACGCTAAAGGTTCGAGACAAGGACACAAAACACATCAATCTAACACCCAACGTTAAGAGCGCATCAAATTAGGTCATTTTAGCTTAATTAATATCAAGGATATGATTATCAACAAACTTTGCCACAATTCTAAAGGGCATGAGTGAGTCTATGAAGGACAACAATCAGGTAAACGGAGCTGATTTGAAAGAATATGTGCTGGAAATATAAAAGAAGGAGCATACTATTCAAGTACAAGGATGATGTCATTCCTTGACTCATAAGCTGCATAGAGCTGGATCAGGCTGGCATGGTCCAGGTTATTCATGACCTGGATCTCATTCTTCACCACCTCCTACCAAAAACACAGGCGCAAAACGGAAAGACAGACAGATGCAGAGGTAGACAAACGGACACAGTTGCAGACAAACACACAGACAAGCAGCACACACACACACACACACAGACACGATGAGAAGTGTCAGCTGTTCTCTGCTATGAGACAATGCATCTTCTCTTCTAGGTCAAATATTTTCTCACCTAAGTGAGAAAATATCCCCTGTGCTTCTGTTCCAAGTGGCCTTGTAGTGCATTTAGTGGGCACTGAAAACTGGGCCCCTTTGCCTCCATAATGTGTTGTGTTTTTCTCACTATCGTATCAAAATGGGGCTAAACAAGCACGACGAAACCGAACGTTACCTTTTCTTTCATACTCCTGGCTTTGATGACCTTTGCCGCCAAAGTCAGACCGGAGGAGTTTTCAACACATTTGTGCACCTGGCCAAAACGCCCCCTTGAGGAGAGGGAGAGCAGAAAATAAAATAAACCTTGTTAGTCGCTTGTGAGTCCCAGTCGGCGACGGCATCGCCTCCAATCGCCACCGTCACAGTTGTGAAACGGGACAGAGGCGGCGTTTCCACGCCTGGTCCATAACTTTGTCGTTTGTCAAACAGAGAGGTTTAAGGACATTGTTGAGCTCAGTCTGTTATTTCATCAAATCTCAGCGGGGCCGTGTCTCCTCTTTGAAGACTCGGATTAACACTCAGTGATTAGCTACCAGCTGGCACCGGGATTCTGTTTCACATACCACCCAGGCCCCGGGTAAAAATAGCTGGAGTGACTCTGGAGTTATGGGCCGAGGAGACGGGAAGGGTTACGCAATTAGGCTGAACGGGGGCCTCGTTCAACCGGTCTTTGGTCTGCGACACACCAACCCGTCATCGATAGCTGTCGTTTTTCACAACGGCCCTGAGACAGTAAAAGTACGGGCGCTCACCCGCCGAGGACCTCCTGCCAGTTGATGGTGTAGAAGTTGACGATCTGGTTGGGTTTGGCAGAAACTATGCGGTGGTTAAAAGGAGCCGCTGGAGGAGAAGAGGTGTCTGAAGAAGGATGGGGGGGGGGGGAGAAAAAAAATACAATCCTTTTTAATAGATTGTGAGCAATGTGAGAACAGCTTAATCAAGCGCGGGGAGGCATTCGGAAGGGAGCGCGGCCGCTATAATCGAGTTAGCACGTTCAGAATTAACGTGCTGGGATGAGCATCAACTACACGCATAGCTGCTTTCAAAGCGCTTTAGCACAGCCCATCATGTGGTGGCAACCTGCTTCAGGTTGTACTACTGTGCTGTACCCACTTAACATTATCGAACCAGCCAGGAAAATATCAACGTATTAAGATTTCATTTATGAAATACAGCCCAGCCCGTGTTGTATATCTGAGGCACTTGCTGATGTTGATTTGACTTTTTTAAAGAATTGTGAAGAACATTTTTACTAAACAGGCTATTTTCAAGTGAAACAGATCATCTTGTCAGTGCTCTCTGGTGGACAAACCATGGTAACGTTGTTTTTAATTTACAACACACCTACTTTTATCCACTGCAGGATCTTGTTTATTTACGGTACATACCTGTAATAAGCGGGTATATTTGTTGTTCGAGTCAAAGTAATTGTGTTCTAAAAGTCTCCAACATGTGCATTTTCTAATAGTGGCTGCGTTACTGTCGTGTTGTGAAGGACTCTCCACTCACCAATAAAGTACCGCTCTACCTCCCCACCTTCCTCCTCCTCTGCATCCTTCTCTTTTCTCTCTCTCTCCACCCTTTGTTTCAGGTTCAACTGGAATTGAATCCCATCTGCCCTGAAGACGGCCCAGCCCTCAGACTCCAGCTTCTGCTCGTCCGCCTCGTTGTCCACCTTCGTCTTCTCCTCCGCCTCCGCCTCCGCCTCCTCCTCCGCCTCCACCACCACAAGGCTCTTTGTGTGTTCCTCCACGACGAAGAGTTCCTCGGTCACGCTGAAGCTGCTGCTCAGTGTGCAGACCTCCGATATCTGGACCTGCTCGACTTCTGGAGATGAAAGTGCATCTTTGCAGTCGTCACTGCTGTGGGAAAGAAACGTTGGTTTTGTTTGTTCGTTTCTGTCGTCTCTGTTTGCATAGTTTCAGCTAAATACTGTAGACGTGGCTAAAAGGTCTTTATAAAGAACACATTCTAATAAAAACATCTGTAGAATCTCTGAATTAGAACTATTCATAACTTTTTACAGAAGAGGCTCTGTTCTCAGACGCTGAGTTAACAAAGAACATTAATCAAGGAATAAGTTTACTATTACTCTGTTTTAATCTTTAATCTATCCCTTTTTTAATGCGTAAAGCATCCAAACATTTTAAAGACTTCCATCAAATCAAATGAAAATATATTGTCAATTTAATATATTTTAAATCGTTAGGCAAACGATTACGACACACCTGAGTGATTACTTGATTATTATGATAAAAAATCATTCTCAGTAGGGTTGAAAACAAACTACCTTGTAGCAGGCAACTGTGGGGCTTCAGTTACTTCTTCAGAAGGAGCATCTTCCTTCTTTTCTTCCTCCACCTCCTCCACGTGGAGCTTTGGTTCCTTCTCCGTTCCCTCTGCCTCGTTCACCTTTTCCCCAAACCCGTCCTCAGCAACCGCCTCAACGACTTTATGTTCGTCGTCCACGGCCGCCTGCGGATCTTTTTGCAGGCCGTCCACCAAATTGCGATCGGGGGCGTCGGGTTGTTGATCTTCTGGGGACGATGCAGCCTCCAGATCCAGATTTCCACCGGTGAGCTGGTGACCTGATTTCTCTGCATTCTCCCTGTTGAGTTTCTGCACCTCTTCGAAAAGCAGTATCTGCTTCTTCAAGGAGATACTTTCTACAAGAAGTCCAAACAGGATTCAGAGTCTTTTTTTCTGACTGCCAGTAAGGTCATTTGATATATTTCACTTTGACATTTTGAGCTTGGTTTCCGTGTCACAGAACAAATAAATGCTAAAGTCGGCCCCACGGTTGTACGTGTGATGGAATAAAAAATGAATTCTTTAAGCTTTTGCTGTTTCTGTGTCTGGCTGATTGTTTCAGATGCATTGGAGTTCGAGCACTTACTCATTTCTCGAGAATAGAAGTTGGTCTCCGCACCTGCTGTGTCCGGAGGCTTCATCTTCTTTTCAGCTTTCAGACCCTCTGGGCTCATTGGGGGCTTGTCTATCCCATCTCTACCTTTGTGGTCCTTTAACTGTTTAATACAAACGGGAAAGAAGACGACACTCAACCGATATACCGACATTCAATACTTAAATTCTCAAAGAAATGATCTCATTTAAAATGTTATAGCAAAGAAATATCTTATATATTGTTATTGTTGTTCACCAGAACATTAATTTCTGCTGTCTAAAATAAAGAATTCAGCAACGTCAAACTGCACAATAAAGCTAAATTTACCAAGTGTAAATAAAGTGTATTTTTTCTCATAAAACAAAATCAAGTAGTAGTAATCAAGTAGTGTAAGCTTAAACATTTTTTTTTTAAAAGAGCCACAAAATCAAAAGCTTCCTAAGTTCCTGTACACCTACAAGCACAATAAACCTACACATTTTCCACATTTGCGAGAGGTGAGGTACGGCTTTGGTCCATGGAGCTTTATCTTGTGGGAAGTTTGTGGAGAACTGCGCTCACATGCAGGAGTTATGTCTTGATTCCCTTTACTCGCTTTATTAGAGGTAGGTTTCTAGCAAAAAGACAAGATGGCAACGCTTAGTAGGGTTACATGAAATAATGAAGTTAGGGTCTTATGTAAAAGCACACAACATTAATCAAAAATCAAACATACAATTCGACTAAATTACAGCAAACAGTTTGCTTTGATGAAGTCACATGTAATTCACACGCCACAACAAACTAATCATACATATTACGTGAGACATAAAATAAAGAGAAACAGAAGATGTGAGCAACACTTACCCTGTTTTCATCTTAGTTATTAGCACATTAACTGCACGTCTCCATGCTCAGACTGACTCGCATTGTGGCATGCCTTTGATTATTCATAGCCAATGGATAGACAGCGGTGAATTTATAGCTTATCACTTGTCGCACTCAGCGGTGGAATGCATGCCGCTGACCCCGAGCGGAAAATATCACAGGCGACCATAGGCTGTTGTTCAGATTTCTCCGCTGAGGAAACTCACTAAACACTCTGCGATCAGGTCGGCATGGAAAAAACCTGTCTCAAACTCCGGGGGTCTCACATTTGTTTTCCGAACGCTGTCGCGAGGTAAACAGCGGCGGATCCATTTACAGTGCAGTGTTTCCCCAGTGACAGCTGTTTGTTTTTTTCTAGAATTCAAAACTCTGACTGGGGGGAGGTTTGGAGAACGCGTGAGAAGGCTGTAGTAACAGCAGTTGTCAGGTATCTCACACCTACGGAGGTGGAGGATGATGGAGCTGTGACCTGACAGGTGCTCTGGTGACCACAGAAATCCCCAGAAATGTGAGTCACATAGAACCTGTCAGAGTGGCATGCAGCCATTAATCATCAGAATATAATCTAGCTACAGAATTAATGATCCAAATCTTATATTGGCTTGAGCTTCCTTTAAAACAAAGTTAAAAAAAAACTGACTGTACTGTTGCACACTATGACAATAATATCCCTTCAAGTGTGGGATAACCTGACATTACAACTATTCACTTTTCAATGGTGTGTCAAGAGGTATGACTCCAACCTTGATACACTCAGTAAGCTTAGTATAAGAGTAAATGATTGTACTGGTTGGATTCAGCAGATTCAGTGTCGCAGGTCAAACATGTTTGATTGAGCAAATTCACAGCTGAAACTGAAACATTATGTAAGGATTCAGAGAAGAGAAACAATATTTACAGAATACACGTTGCTAAAAGTGCTAAAAACTGACATTTGCCGAAACCTTTAAATTAAACGTGCTGTGACAGCAATATCAGCAGGACTCGCAGTAAACGTTTTGGGGGCCATTCCGCACTGCAGGACGTCAGCCCAAGTGGAATCAGTGTCAGTGGAATCGCGTTGGCGCACACTTTGGCGGGGCGGAAACGTGCCTCATTTAAGTGAGTCATGACTGAAGAGCGAAGGGGAGCAAGACTGACTCATCACAATTTGTTGACACCCGACATCTGCTCAGAGGGTTAAATAACTTTTAGACCACGAGCACTGCCGCTCCGATCCAAAAACAGCAATTCTAAACCGGGACCCCTCACATTGCCCCCCTCCCTCCTCGCCCCTGGCCTCCCCTCTCGTGCCCCGCCGGGGGGTTCCAGAGTAAGCCTCACGCCAAGGAGGCCATGTGGCACTCAGCACGGGGCGTGGGGGGGGGGGGGGGGACGGCAAGCAGAAATGTCAGTTAAACTGTGGTTCCACGTAAACCATGAGTGACGTATTTATTCTGTAGTAGCTCTCGTGGCGCTGTGCAATTAGCACAAACTACCTTAAAATCATTCGTGTAAACAGCAGTGGCTTTTTAACCCAGACGCAGCTCAACACACACAAGCCAGGTCCCATTCATAAGCAAAAGTTGAACTGTTTCAGTGGTCAGCTTGGCTGCTACGATCAATTTCACGTCTTCTGCCAAGAACAGCAACAAGAACAAGATCTTTGTGTGATCTGAGAAATCAAAGTCAGCAAGGAACACATATAGCATCTTTTGCAACACTATTACAAGACAGGACGTCCGTGGTGATGGATGGGCTGGAATAGGATGGCAATACAATCTCAACAGTATACAACATTAAAAGCCATGTGTTGTATTTATCCAAAACCTACTTCATGACAGACGCGTTTTCACATTTCCAACTTGAAGGAAAAGACGTTTTTGCCATAACATTTGAGTCTCACCTTGTCAAGCTTCTTGTGTATTGTGTCCGTAGATGATTTCCCCTTAATGGCTTGCTTGCCTTTGCTTTCTTTGGATTTGCCTCCCTTCCGAGCAGCAGAACCTTTAAAAATCAGCTCCATGACCCTAGAACTCTTCACCGTCTCTCCGATGAAGCTGATCACCTGCTGCATGCTGAGGACCAGCTTCTCCATCCCTTCGAGCTTCTGAGCCTGCTGCTCGGACCGCTGGTTCACCACCAACATTATGGTGCTCATCTCTTGGCATATCTCCCTCACCTCCCGCCCCATAACCTGGGTCTGGCTCACCATCTTGGGTGGAATATGGATCTCCTCCTTGTCAACCTTCAGGTTCTCCATATCCATTTCAATACCGTCAATGTCTTGAGACATCCCATCTAATCGGTTGAGGACCTTTTCTTGAATGTTGATGAGCTTGTCCATCTTGCTGCTGAGGGACTCAATCCTGTTTTGGATGAGGTCAATACTTGCACCATTGCCATCTCCTACTGTGTTCATTACCAAGGAACTCATGGCCCCCGGTGATGTAAAAATCACGTTAAGACACCAACTTGGGACAAAAATAGGACAAACAGCGTCCGTAAAACAGACAAAAATACTTTTTCAAAAATCGTAGCCAGCTCTACCCTTCAGTGCAAACTAATTTAGATACCAAAAAAACGTTCTAAAAAGTTGCTTTTTTTTGAGACATCACCAATAGACAACAATCCATACGAAGATTTGAAAGCTCTGAAGCTCAAGTAAAGCCAGCTCAGACTATAAGAAGCCAAAAAACACTTATCTGTTCCCGTCAAACTGTATCCCTAACGTCTGCTCCCTCTGCACTAGAGGTGGTATTAAAAATGGAGTGAGCCGGCGTCCATAAATGTAAATGGACAGTCTACGTCAGCAGGGGTCAAGTGTTTGGGGTGTTGGTTTGGCACAACTCGGGCTGTCGGACATTTGAGAGCCTTCAAGTGTTAAGCCAACCACCGTCACTCCACTGCTGGGCGTCAAACGGGTTACTGTACACGGAGCCTCTTCACGGGGACAATGCTCATTCAGTTTCCCCTCTTTCTGATTCAAATGGCAATGACATTATCTCCATGTGACATATGGAAACGTCTGGTCTACGTGAAATTACAGGTGGGGTAAAATAAGCAATTGTATCGTCATTTATAAATACAAGTTGTGTTGACATTTTAAAGGTCTGAATTGTATGGTAAAATCTGTTCAAATCCCCACCTCATCTTTTGAATGTGTGTAACTTGGACAGTCGGAGGAAACATAAAGGAACATGCAGCTACTGGCTAAAGGGACCCACAGTACAGTAGTCTTACGTTCAGCCCTTCTGCTGAAAGAAGAGATGGGCGACATGGGTGATTTATATGATGCCTACTCACTGACAAAAACATCCACCGTAAACCTCCCTTAAGAGAGTACGTGATCTATTTTAACTCAGCTCGTGTAATGTGACCTTAATCCATGTTCCCTTTAACTCAAAATATGTCTGACTTATTCTCATAACAACATGTGTTTAAGTCAACAGGGAGGGTTGCACAGATATTAAATTCCTAAGCAAACACTGAACACACGCTATTGTCAAAAATATCTAAATGTTAAAATGCACTCGCGGGTTGTTCAGTGAAACTAAGCTAACCATAAACTCAAGGGTGATATGGTTTAGGGAGAAATCCATCTCTGCTCAACCCACTGTGAAATGCTTAGGCGGCAGACTGAGGGGCTTAGCAGTGGGGCAGAGTGGGGGAAGGAAATGAGATGGAGTTTTTACTTGTCAGCTCGTGTGTACTGACAAGTCATCGCATCAGCTCGCATATTACTCTCTTCCACTCGCGATGGCTTCAGCGGTGAGAACAAGAGGACTCCGAAGGGGCAGAAACAAGACGGGAGTGAAATCAACCATCGATCACCCGGGGCAGGACAGGGAGTCGCACCTGTCCTCGGATGCTGACAGATGACTCGTTTGCATCACGAGGAGTCAACTTTCTCGTGACGCGGCGTGTATCCACGCAAGCAGCCAGAAGGATGCACAAAAACAAAAACAAATAGATTCTGCTGTTTTTTTCCTGCACGTTGAAAAGGTTACCATGCATGACTATGATGTCTTTCATTGCTTCCAGGCAGGGGGGAGGGGGATGCACTTGAAGGTCATTGAACCCTTTAGGGGGATGTAAACAGACCCCATCGCCTCTGAGGCGTATTGCATGGAGCAAATGTCGTGTTTATATCACTTACACTTTACAGTGAAACGAATGCCAAGGAAAGTAACAACTTCCATACTGGTGGCCAAAGTCCTCGATGATCCCTCTCTGCTAAGCTCAAGTAAGTGTGCACCCAGACTGAGCCCACCAGCCGGCAGGTGGGAATTCACTGCCCCGCGTAGTAAGTGCATGAAAGACATGCTGTTCAGTTAATGTGACGGCGAAACTAATGGACCGTTTGGAGGCATCGTCAGCTGCACGGATGAAAGCCGTAACAAACAATTGCAGGTTTTTTGTGTGTGTGTGTGTGTGTGCGCGTGTGTCCCGGTTGAGCTTTTCTGTGGATTGTCACCTTGCCGTGGTGGAGAAGCTTGTGTGTTCCTGAGATCCCAAGAGCGACGAGGTCTGGAGCTCTGCTCCCGAGAGGGTCGCCCATGGAGGTGTACGGGTCAAGGGGGAACAGCCAGAGGATGAGGACTTAAGGGAGCATCCCACCTGCAACAAAAAAGGGCCTTCGGAGACTTACGGACGCCAGTAGATCCTGACCGATATCTGGCTCCCCCGCGTTAACAAAGTCCCGCACGCCTGGAGTGAGTGACAATGGTGATGGTCGACCTCGCAGTATGAAGACGTACCGGCTTACAGACGTCAACATTGAAAACACGGAAGGGTAAAACGATACACAGCAGAGGGATTAGCTCCTTTGATATGTCTTTTTCTGTAGAGTGACTTATTTTACAGAGAAACAGATTATTCGAGCGGCGTACAGTTACTATGGGGATTTAAACCAAGTCCTTTGCATTTGATGGGAAAATTAAAGTTATTGTAATATTTAGGTTGCCTAAAAATGCCTTTACGGTCGTACTTACGACATCATCTGGTTACAAAAAAAAACAGAAAATGGCACATAAACGTGCACATGGGAGAAGTTCATCTTCGGGGCTTTCTGACAGATAACCGTGACAAAACTATTTCAAATGACTTCAGTGATGTGTGAACACTTTGGATCAGGACATGATTATGGCTGAATGAATGAGGACCAAACAAAGTAATGGAGGCTGGATGGTATTACATAACTTAGTTTTGGTTGGTTTTTTTACATAATAAGTCAATAATATCGGCTTGAAATGTGACCTGCATGGCCTTCTGTAGTAGGCTTTTTATTTGGCACGGGGACAAGGTGAACTTTTAAAATGGAGCACCACCTCCCCACCAGAGAACACAATGTCCTAGGAGGCAGCAGGACTGTGTGCTGTGGCGACTGTCCAGTCACCTCACCGGTCTCCACTCAAACATTGCACAGCGTGCCAGCTTTGGCTATACTTTCTCTTGGAAACTTGTTGGCTTAAATGTGCGTGGCGGCAGTGAAACTTAACTCCCCGTGCTAATGTCTCCGACTTCTCTGCTATTCTTTCCCTCTCGTGTTTTCTCTCGCCGCGCGGACGCCATTTTCTGCGGCTGTGCGTTACACTTTTTTCACTCGTTTATGTAAATTCTTTAAAAGCGTAGATTCAATACATTGACTCCCCAGCACGCACACAGTATTGCACATGTTCGTTTTCATTTGTCATAAAAGAATGAACTCTTTACTAAAGTATCCCGAATTTGAGCGATTTCGTTGGACGTGCACTTATGCCTTTTGAGATTGGAACTACAGCACGTAAATCCTCATGAAATATTATAAATGTTAAACATCCTTTGATCTCAACCCGACTTGACTCATGTGAGGCCTTTTATGTAGGTCTTAGACAGGCCTTCCTTCACGCTTGGAGTTGGTCCAGAATCCTTCCACCACAAGATTAAATGACCACAGGCCGCTTGCTCTGACGTCTGTGGTCGATCCTTTGAGAGACTGGTGTTGACCCACCTGAAGGACATCACGGGACCTCTGCCGGGGGCCCCTTGCTGCTACCGGGCAGACAGGACAGGGGATGATTCCGTCAACATCGGGCTGTTCCACGTCCTGCAAGGGCCCCCGTTTGTGAACTTTCACCATCGTCCCAGAGACATTCCAAAGTCACCCAAGATCACAAACCTCTTGACAGATAGAAGGAGCAGGTGAGGCTGGAGGAAATCAAACCGCCGCCCAGACCATCATCACGGCTCTCACGCTCTCCTCGCTGGTCTTCACCTTTTACACCAACTGCTGCACCTCAGGGGACCCGTCTGTTGAAGGCTTGAAATTTGCAGACGACACGTCCACCATTTCTCAGGACATCAAGTGATCTTCCTACATCGTCAAGAAAAAAGGCCTCAGCAGAAGATGTGCTTCCTGCGCTACTTCATCACTATCACTTCACGTCCATCGGACCAGCAGAACTACAGAGAAGCCTTCCCTCTATCCAGGAAAGATCACAGCGGACCCTTAACACCCTGGATGCCAACAGTTTGAACTGCTCCCCTCTGAGAGGCGCAAAGAAACAGTCTGCGCCAAAACAACCAAGTCACTAGCGGCTGCTCCCAACATGCGATCCCTTAAAATCCAAAAACTGTCAATAACCCTGTAACATCCAAACTTTCCCTACTGCCAATATAGATTCTTATTCTATAGTTTTGATGTACATAATCTGTCACTGTCAATTGAAATACTGTGCATAATCCAGCCCATGTATTTCTATGGGCAGCCAGATGCCTTTTGGCCAATGATTCAGATTCTGAATGCTGTTGCTCGTCTTTAAACAGGCAAACGAAGGTGAGCGCACATGTCCCACGTACTGGCCTCCCTCTACTGGCTCCCAGTATGTTTTAGGAGTGATTTTAAGGTTTTATTTTGTATCTATAAATCATTGAATGGACAAACATACGTCCCATATCAACGTCACTCAGGTCAGCTGACAAGTTCCTTGTCCTCACATTGAGACTGAACAACAGCCTTTGCAGCTCTGGCTCTAAAACTGTGGAACAAGTCGCCTGTTTTTAAACCCAGTCAAAAAAAAGATGTTTTTCAACTCACCGTGAGAGCTGCCTTTGTGTATCACCATCCTTTTCCAGGTTCCATTAACTCACAGACTATATTTCGACTTATGTTTCGAACAGAAGGGGGCATTGTCCATCTGTGTAAAAGGTGCATAGTGAGACTGCTTATTCAAAAGTCAGATTTTATATGATTCTCCACTCAGAAACGTTATAAAATATTTGACTTGAGAGGTACCTGTGAAAGCAGTGGAAAGTGAGTCATCTCAAGAGACAACTCTCCACAGCAAATTTTTATAAATCTTCAGAAAAGAGTTTCAAAGTCAAGTTAACATGTTTAAATGAAGTATTTTTGTTACTGTGTACTACCATGGACTTTGTCTCCAGCACAGTGCGGTGCATGCTTGAGGAAGATATTCCCGGATGCACTATTATTATCAATGTGGAAACGTAAGGAGCGTTTTGTATTGAGGATGTCAAAAGGGTATTAAAGGTTAGCAACAGTACGCAAAGAAAGCTTAGTCGCATACTTGTACATCTACCTCAGTAAATGTCATCGTGGATCTCCTGAATGCCGAGAGAGGAATGGGAACGAGAGAGTTCTCGGCGGCGTGATGTCTGACGGCATTAAGACACAGTAATGTGTGTGTGTGTGTGTGTGTTTACATGTGTCATTTTTATTTATTCTGAAGCAGATTTTTCCTGCATAATATAGCATTATAAATTGGGGAACAGGTGAAGTGAAAGGTTTTATTTAATGTGCAGTTTTTTCTCCACCAGATGCAATGGCACCACTGCACAAATACACCGATGATATTTCACTGCGGCAATGCAGAAATCACTCGAGGGCCACAAAACGCAACTATGGCAGTCGAGCTCTATCGTTAGAGCTCATTGTACCTTCACAGCAGATTCTCCAAACGCCGCACTCATAAACACCATCAACTTGTTACCTCATGTTCTCTCCTTCCTGCTGCTGTACATAACATAGTAAAACGCACATCAGTCTCATCTTTCCTTTGCTGGAAGGATTACACACCACATGTTGAGCTATCTAATTAAATTAAATGTGACATTTAGCTCGATGTTAACGTGGTATAGTATTAGTGCAAAGTTAAGCAGATAATGGACAAAGGAAGTATACATTTTAAAGACACAAAAATTGATTAAAATAAACGTGTTAAAAAAGTGAGATTAAATCTAAAAAGAAATAGAAAAGAAATTCATTTAAAATATCTAACCATAAAATGTTTATTTATAGAAGAAATAAATATAAAGTAGCTGTTAAATACGTCCCAAGTAGGCACGAACCTGTATTTATAGTAGGTGTCAAAGAGGTGGTTAAAGTCTATATCAGTGACACTAGACAGCTCGCATCTGTGATGCTTGTTTGTTGTCTGAGGTCAAAGTAATTAGAACAATATGATTAGTGAGGAAATTCATTTCCACCCGTCGTTGCCATTTTCTCTGTTGTTGAAAACAAACAACATTGAATCTACACTAAATAGCAACAGCAATGACAAAGTTGAGTGAGGGAAATTGCTTAGTTTTGAACAACTTTGTTTAATCAACCTCAAGATTTCATTCACCTGCAAAGCATCACCTTAAATCTGCACATATCTCCACTGTTAAACACTTCTTTTTATACCAGTAAGCGTGGTTCTTAGATGTTGTAGTTGCTGTCTTCCCCTCTGAAGATAGTCCAAACCTTTTTAACAGGATCTAAGGTATTAGTAACAGATCACGGCATTCTGTTATCGTTCAAGTCCATTGACTTTTTTTGCACAATACACTGGATTCCTGTTGCCCTGATTCTTGTAATTGTAAACAACTACAGGAATTTTACGTCTTCACACTTTTGTTCCATAATCTCCATAATGTGTAAATATTTAAACACAATATAACTCCACTGTCCTTTCTTTCCCTTGCCTTTATCAGCGATTAAAAGCAAAACACACATTTTTTTGTCCATAAATCTCACAATGCAAAAGGAAAACCGTAACAGATTCAAAGCCCTACTAAATCAACACCACCATTACTACGGAGTTAGTTAGAATATTACTCCACCCAAAAACAACGCGCGAGTGTTCCTCAGCCAATTTCCGTTTGTGATTCAACAAATCAAACAGCCTCGTACGTACCTGAATGGCAGGTGAGGCGGATGCTCTGCGCCTCCTCCGGTAGCGGAGTAAATCACACAGCCTGCTCCAGAGGAAGGAGGCCGCCAGACACATGCTGTTCACCAGCCAAGTGTCCCAGCCAGCGACAAAGCTCTCAAGGTCTTTAGCTGCACTCTTCATTCTGCAGCTGGAGCCGGTTATTTTCCTGCCTTTAACTACAGAGGAGCTCTTGCAGCTCAGGGGGAAGAGATTCAAGAGGAGAGTGAGAAGAGGTGACAAATCGGAACCACCCTCCACAACACTCGCGTAAGCACTTAGAGGACGGGCGGTTTGTCCTCGCGATGAGAGGGACAGGTGCGAGTACAAAGGTGTCAAGCTCACTCAGAGACCGTCGCCCTCTCACATCATCTAATCCTTCCATCTCGCTCCAAAGCAGGACTTTTATTTTCCTCTCAGAAAATATCTGAACGAATGAGACACAAATTGCATCTTCAACAAATGGAGGTAATAATAATGGGGGTCTAGTCTCCCTGTCAACACAGAAACTTGTGTAAACTAATACCCTGTGCTATTGGATTACAGTTCCAAAATGTCACACAGACTATCGCCATGGGGAGCTTCAACTCAAAGGTTCAATTTTATATAACCTTGTATTGTTTAAACCCTGAAGGAGTGTGAAAATGTGAACATAACGTTATTAAATGCCAATCAAAATCACCAATCATGTCAAAGATACATACAGTAATCGCTGTAAGGACCCTTTGGCTGTGAACGCTAAACGGCCACAAGTCCAAGAATGCATCATCTGGTTGACGGTGGGCAATCCCAGCTATGAACAGTGTGTCTGGAAATCTCCACGGCCTCCTCTTGCTTCGCCGTCGGCTCTGCCAAATACAACAATGGGTGTATGGTGCTCTCGCCGCTCAAATGAATCTCTTGGCTGCTGTTTGGAGGGGGGGATGAAAGCAAAACTGGTCCCTGATTACTCACAATGTCTGTGTTTGCATTATAGTAGACTACTTACGTTAATGTGACATACACCACCCGCTGCTGGTGCTACTTCAGACTCTAAAGGCCGATTCAAAGGGACAAAATGTATAAATACTTCTTGACGAGAATATCTTTTTTTCATTTCAGCTTCATACTTTTACACTTTTCCAGGAGCAGTGCTTGGTCTTCACTTCCTCTAATTAGGGGAAGGAGGTCAGCCTGGTCATGTTTCAGCTGTTGGCACAAAGATGAACTAACTTCGGCTTGGCCATTCTCTTGGAGGGGGACACTTGGATGTCAGCTATCTCGTTCAGAGCTCTTCCTCAGTATCACTATACTCGGCCTGGACGACCTGTCTGGTGTGTTTCTGTTGTGTCTTGTATTATCAGAGAGGGGAGAAAGTTGCAGTGAAGAACCTTAAGTCTGTTAGAAAATAGCAACACAAAATCTGTTGTTGTTTTTTTCTTCAAATTGTGTTTTTAATTTGTAACAATAAGCCAAAATAGATAAAATACCATATTATTGGAAGTCTGTAGCCTTTGTAGAAATGGGGAGCTTAAAGTCTTAGTAAAGTTTGTTAAACAAAGCCAAGCCAATTTTAAACAATAACCTATGTAAAATCCTAAATCAGGGGTGCCCAATAGGTCGATCGAAGGCGCTACCAGTCGATCGCGTGCCATCGATTTTTTTTAATGACGCCAGGTCACGCATGCGCGGTCTCTCGCGGGAGATGACCGAAACTAATGCTAATGCTAATTAGCTATCATTGCTTACTCTCATTCCAGAGCAACCCAGGCTGACTCCAGTAAGATAATTATTTTTTCAAACTATGGCGTTAATTCATAATCTAATTGTGCTTTAATCCATCTATTGAATGTGTAATATAAAAGAGCGTTAAGGGCGGCATTATAATCAATAGTACAATAGATATCCAACCCGCACTCTCCGCTCTGCATCTGCAAAACTACTCGTCCCTCCCTCACTGAGAGCAAAACACTCGACTAGATCACGACTCTTTGCTGTCCTTGCGCCGAAATGGTGGAACGAGCTCTCTGAAGACACCAGGACCGCAGAGAGCTTTCACATCTTCCGCCGCAAACTAAAGACACACCTCTTCAGACTCTACCTCGACTAAAGACTAACAAATTGTAGCACTTAAATTGTACTTGTAACGTCACTCATCTATAGCAAATTGTAAATTGGCTTATTTGAGGAAATTGCACTTTCTTGTTTCTTGTTCTCCTGAGTTTGTACCCTATGGTTGAATGCACTTATTGTACGTCGCTTTGGATAAAAGCGTCAGCTAAATGACATGTAATGTAATGTAATGTAATATTTCAAATTTCAGCTGACATTTGGTATGCAAGCATGTTTGTGCCCACTTTATTTACCCAAATAGTAAAATAATCCAGTTGTGCCAAAAAGTTTAGACTGTCAAAAACATTGCTTGATAATATATATATATATATATATATATATATATATATATATATATTGATTTAGTATTTTGTAAAGGGTTTGATTAATGTCCACTCTTAATTCTCAATAAACATAAATACAATTCAGTGGAGCGACTTTTATTTTGAAATATCAACGACGGAACTCGCAAAGGTTCAAAGGTCTCTTATCCGCTTCCGCGTTGTCCGAATTGGAACGAAGTCGGATAGAAGAGTTTTAAAAATACTTCTCGCAGTAAGTTTACGATGGTGCTGTTTGTATACATCCCCCTGGCTTTTAGCTCATTAAATACGTATCTCCCCGTGGCATGTGACGTGCTTTTTGTCGAGAACATGTGACGTTATCCTAAACATTCCAGTATACAGTAATATAAGCTAGCGTGCTAATGTTAGCGCTTTAGAGGAACCTATATTTGTATTACTGTGTTAGCCGACTGGTCACTTAGCAGCAGATTGTTAAAACCCTTTAAGGCTCCAATAAATGAAAGCTGAAAAACCAAATGAAGTCGTAGCTAGTCGCTACCGTGTGTAGCACTTGTCCTCAAGAATGTTCGCTTGTGTTTTGCTTTTGTTTTGACAGGAGCACCTACGCTCAACCAGGCAGGGGAAAACAAAAAAAAGGCAGTGTTGTAATGTCAGCTGACGGCCTCCTGCTGCTGAGCTACTGACCCACCAACACCACCATCATGTCTCTGGGGGACAACCCTCACCTGCTGCTCGGCAGGGTCCGCTTTCTCAACCGCTGCATCGAGTGTTTCAAGAGGGGCGAGGCGTTGCCGGAGTGTCTCTGTTACGTCCCCAAGGAGGTGTGCTACAAGATCTGCAAGGATTCGTCGTCCGCCTCCTCGGCCTCCACCGGAGCGTCCGCGGGAGGCTCCACCGCGGGGAAGACGCTCGTCGCCGTCTTCGAGAGTCCGCACCAGGCTCCGCAGGTCAAGAGATGCGCCAAGTACAACATAGAACCGAGGAAAGGGACCTGCGTGCGGACAACGGGGGAGGAATATTGCAACAGCCAGGGCCTGTGGGTCAAAATCAATAAGGTGAGATTCTCTATCTGAACAGGAGCCGTTAGATGGCTGCAAATAATCAACATGTGATGCTTTGGCTGTCAGAACTACAGCGCTTTACTAATTACATTACAATGCAAATATTGTCACATCAATATGTATTCTGCAGTATTGATATTACATTATTCGCCTATTTACAATCACATGCTATTATCTCGATTTGAAAGGCTGTATACACATAGTTATAGTTAGTGGAATATTTGTTTTCATGCTACAAACATGCTTTGGCAAAATATATATTTTTAATTGAGTGACTTTTTCTGTCCTATGAAATAAAAGTTAGCATGTTGTCCCTCCAAAATAAATGTTGGTTTATATAGTAAAATAGAAAATAAAAATGCCAGCTTAAAATGAAACCTAACTATTTTGATAATTAGATGTCATATCCCGCACAACCCCATTAGCCCCTCTTCAGCTTGGCTGCTTTTGTCACGTGTCACTTGGCTTTAGATGATTTGAAATGCAGTGGGCAAACACACGTTGACATAACCATCCGTGTCCACATGCAGGAGCAACTGGAGGAGCACCGCCCGGCCCAGGAGCTGGAGGAAGGCTGGATCCTGGTGTGTAAACACAAAGAGGGAGGCGACAGGCTGGTGCCGGTGGAGTCGCCGGAAACCACCAGTAGACAACAGCAGCTCTTCGGCTATGACCACAAGCCCTGCAACAGGTGGGAGCAGGTGGTAAGCGTGGAGAACGCGCTTTACATGGGCTCCAAGCCCCAAATCGCTGAGTGCGACGAGGCCGCTGTCCAAAAGCTGAGGTGAGCATGTTTGTAATGTATCGGATCAGAACGTCAAGACTTTTTGGTTTGTCTTTAGACAGGTTATCAAATTGAGCTGTTGTTCCCCTTCAAATACCAAAGGTATGTTCCTCCCACCTGGGCATATGAATGTGACGAGGACTTGGTGCATTACTTCTATGACCACATAGGGAAAGAGGATGAGAACCTGGGCAGCGTGAAGGAGTGCGTCACCAGCATCGATGTTTCCTCTTGTTCGGTGAGTCCAGTGCTCTCAGGTATTTGCAATTCTTTTCTTTTCCTCTTCGAAACTGTCCAGACATCCGGACTTTGAAGTCTGCATCTGTGTGCATTCTCTATCGCCATAAGAATGACACTGAATATTCTGTTTTTTAGCCCCTGACGATATAGCCGATTGCATTCAATTGATTCAATTGAATTGGTTGTTGAAATGAGTGTTTCACTTAAAAGCAGTGTAATAAAACAAGTCAGTCAGTGGAGGCTCTAACACGTGGAATCACCTTGGAATTGGCTGATAGGAGGATCCCACCGGAGGGGCGAGCTGTCTGACGGACGGCGACACTGAAACCTACTGGGAAAGCGATGGCATGCAGGGACAACACTGGATTCGGCTGCACATGAAGAGAGGCACTGTGGTCAAGTAAGCAAGCGGCTGAGCCACAAAGTGGCAGGTCACAAGGAATCGGTGACGACTTTAGTGTGTGGGGGGTTTTTCTTGGCTATTTATTGTAATCTAAACCCGGACATCCCTGTCGTGGTTTAGATTACCTGAGGTTTGTCTGTTTTTCTGTTTTTAGGGAAATTTTACCACGTAGTGAATTTTTTTGATTTGCTTGATGATTAATTTAAACGGCGTAACACAAACCATTTTGCAACAACTTTGACTGTGTTTGCACTGCGAGCATCATTGTTAAACAGAGCGCAAACAAACCTCCTCTCGTCCCGCTTGCGTCCCGCGCTCTGTCCCGCTCTTGTAGACACGTCTTTATCGTACATAATGTGCTTCTCTTTGCTCTCCAGTAAGTTGATATTGACCGTGGACTCTACGGATGATAACTACATGCCCAAGAGAGTCACCGTGTACGGAGGAGAGGGAGACAACCTGAAGAAGCTGAGTGACGTCACCTTAGACGAGTGAGCTCTCTTCTGTTACTATTGTTGTTAAATGCAGTAAATAAATTGAGAAACACGGAAGACAAAAAGGCCAATATCCTCCTGAAATCTTGGTAAAGCCCCATTTATTAGAAATGTTGTATTTATGAAGCACCTGCCACACTGAGGGCATTAAAGAGTGTTTGACTACAGTTGGTTTGAACCACCCCTGGTCTTTTTTTGCCTGTAGCAACCTGATTGGAGAAGTATGTGTCCTGGAGGACATGACGTCCCACCTGCCCATGATTGAGGTCCGGATTGAGGAATGTAGAGGTAGCTTTTAAGCACGTTTTATGGTCATTTGAGATATTTTATCTGACTTAAACACTTCAATACACTTTATAGGGGGGGAGGGGGGGTTTGGCTGCGAAAGCCTGCTTACCTCGCCTACTTAGCTTCAGTAGTGTCGTAACGCACCTGAAACAATGCTTTTGGCTCCACAGATGAGGGAATCGATGTCCGGATCCGAGGATTAAAGATCAAGTTATCGTGTGAAAGAGACCTGGGTCTAAACGCTGATGTTTTCCAGTCCTCTAACTTGGTGCGTTACCCCCGTCTGCAGGGCAACACGCCCGAAGTCCTGTACCGCAGAGCACTGGTCATACAGAGGTAACATTCATCTTTAGTTTATGTCCAGAAAGTTTTAAAAATGTGATGATAATTTGTCATCATTCATTCATCGTATGTCTGTTGTATTCTTCTGTCTTTCTATCCGCAGGTTCATTTGTCTCCTGGACACTGTGCTCCAACACTTGGTACCAGCCTGGGACTACAGTCTGGGTACCTTCAACCACATCAAAGTATGTCATTTTGGACCTTTTAAAATATACAAGACGGACAGTTAATAAGCAACAATAGACTCCAACTTGCTTACCAGATATATAATAAGTTCTATATGAAAAGGCTAACACCATTTGTGGCTTTTGTAAAAAAATGTAACGCTGTCATTGAGTTCTGTGATGAAACACTGAAGGTATTAAGTGGAATGAAATAGTATTCTTTCAGTGCTGGTGGATACATTCTATAACTAATATTAATTATAGAATATATGAGAAGATGCCAGGCAAATTAGTTGCTCACGAATATTTGATACCATTCCACTACAGTAAATAGCTTGTAGTACGTCATCGTGATAAAAGGCTGATTCACTGACGCGTCTGTATTTTAAAACTGGAGAGCCAAAATAACCAAAGGACCTTCTGTGGCGCCCTCTAGAGCATAAAGCAGTTCCTGCTGCTGTCCAAACGCCGCTCGGCACTCATCACGCAGTGCCTGAAGGACTCCGAGACCAGTAAGCCAAACTTCATGCCCCGGCTGTACATCAACAGACGCCTCGCCATGGAACACAGAGACAACCCCTCTCTGGACAGCAGCTGCAAGAACACCGTTTTCAATCAGGTATAAGAAAAGAAAACACTTTGTTCGGTTTGATGATATTTATTTATACGAACGGCTTGGAGAAACAAGTATCCGAAGTTTGATGAATTTTTTCCTCCTTGTAGGTGTATGAAGGCCTCAAGCCATCCGACAAATTTGAGAAGACTTTGGATTATAGGTGTGCAGACTTCTCAGGCTCATTTCTTGCTTGTATATAACTGAAACTCGAGGGAATTTGAATCTAAATGAACCGTCTTTCCTCTCTGCTCGTCAGATGGCCTGCGCGCTATGATCAGTGGTGGGAATGTAAGTTCATTGCAGAGGGAATCATTGACCAGGGAGGAGGATTTCGGGACAGCCTGGCTGACATGTCTGAGGAGCTGTGCCCAAGCTCAGCAGAGTGTCCCATGCCTCTGCCATTCTTCAGCCGTACGTCCAACCAGGTAAGCACTCCCAGTGCCCGAATGTTTGAACTCGTGAATTTGACTGGACAGTGTCCTCATCGGCTTGCTGGTCTCTCAGGGCTCCTTGGAGGCCAGAGATTACTACGTGCCCAACCCGTCCTGTAAAGAGTTCCACAAGTATGAGTGGATCGGTCAGCTCATGGGCGCCGCACTCCGAGGGAAAGACTTTTTGGTGAGTGATGCTGATTCTTCACCTAATTGAAGGTCGTGAACGACGCTATGGCGAAAGAAAAGGGGCGATGTTGAGGCTTGATTCTCTTTGTCCATCCTTGTAGGTGCTGGCTCTGCCCGGGCTGGTGTGGAAGCAGCTGACTGGGGAGGCCGTTAGCTGGAATAAAGATTTCCCAGCTGTAGATTCGGTTCTGGTGAGGACATTCGTATGGTTACACTTGCTCATTAAGTCTGAAACATTAGTTTATTGTCAAGATCAATATTTTTTATTATTATTATTATTTTTAATATATATTAAATTTGAGTTTACCTAAAGGAATAAATCTTATCGCAATCAAATTGTTTTGAATTTGGCAAACGGCCCTTAAGGGGTGCCCCACCGTCTTGTTGCTTTCCCATTTCTGCATTCCACTAGAAAAGAAATGAAGCATCTCTAACTTGTGATGGGGCCACTAGTCCTTCATCGCATCATGTTACATTTGGATTGGTGTTCAGGTGAACCTGCTGGAGGCCATGGAGAACTTGGACCAGGAGACGTTTGAGTTCAGGTTCGGTGAGGAGCTGGTGTACACTACCCTGCTGAGCGACGGCCAGATGGTGGAGCTCATCCCCGGTGGAAGTAATGTGGCCGTTCGCTATGAGGACCGCAGCGAGTTCATCCGCCTGGTGCAGAAGGCTCGGCTAGAGGAGAGCAAGCAGCAGGTGGGACTAACTGTAGTATGAACTCGTCCAGCAGCTGTAGTGTGCGTGGGTGTTTATGTGTGTAGAGCGTATAAATCGACATGGCTGTTTGTGTATCACAGATTGCGGCCATGCAGGCAGGGCTGCTGAAGGTGGTTCCTCAGGCGGTGCTTGACCTGCTCACCTGGCAGGAAGTAGAAAAGAAAGTGTGTGGAGACCCTGAGATCACTGTTGAAGCCCTGAAACGACTCAGTAAGTGTCCAAAGAACAAGCCAAAAATGTAGTCAGGTTATCAAATCCACATGATCAAACATAGATAGTGGATTATTTTCATTTAATTATTGTTGTAAGAACTCATGTTTTTTTTTTTTTTTTTTTCTCACAACCAGCACGATATGAGGATCGTGAACAAAGTGACGTCCGAGTGCAATACTTATGGGAAGCACTGACAAGCTTCACTAATGGTCAGTTCACTGTTTCCTTGGTAACATTTTACAGAGGATGTTCATGCTGAAAACAAACACCTCTGCTATGAAGAAGAAATTACTGACATTTATTGTGAAAACCTAGTGATCTTTCAAATTTTGCTTTCAGAGGATCGAAGCAGGTTTCTGCGGTTCGTAACCGGTCGAAGTCGTCTTCCTGCACCTATCTACGTCTTTCCAGACAAACAAGGGTGAGTGCAAGTACATCCCCTACATATATATGTATAGTTGAAGATGCTGTTTTCTAGAAAACTGCTTACAATAGAACGTTTTCGTTTTCGTTTTCCGGATTTAGGTCCGAAACCACCGATGCACTTCCACGGTCGTCCACATGTTCCAGCACTCTTTATTTACCCAACTATCCAAGGTAAAGCAGTGTTCTATGTTTGGTTCATGCAGGATGTGTTACAATTCTCTTTTAAAATAGAATGTAAGTGTGTTTTATGGTGCTATACCTAGCTTTCATAGTCCATCCTACACTTAATTAAAATGATATAATGCTGACCCCTGATTTTTTTATAAAACTGCTTTTTATTGAAAGTAAAATTACAGGAATGACCTCCAATCCTTTCCTATCTTCTTGTTTATTCTGTCCCGCAGTGCTAAAGTTTGTGAGGAGAAGCTACGCTACGCTGCTTACAATTGTGTGGCCATCGACACTGACATGAGCCCCTGGGAGGAGTGATCTGTCGTGCTTCAATGAGCCAACACCACCACTGTGTGAAATCATGGCATGTGTTTCACCATATCTACACAACAGTCAATTAATCCATGCTGTATATGATAAATAATTGGAAATATTACAATTACTTTTGTTTTTTTTGTGGGGGGATTTTATTGTTCTGAATGAAACTGAAAATGAAGGGATGTGTTTTAATTTGTTTTAGAATTTGTGGAAGGTTTTGATGTCAATGGGACATTAAAATGTAGTGGTTTGACTTTTCTTCATAAGTAATGTTGTACAAATAAAACTAAAAACAGCATCCATCCACTCATTATCTCTGACGGTTTATCCTATTCAGGGTTGCAGGGGGATTGACCCTCAAATTCACTGGTAATAAAAAGTGTTCTCAGTCAAACTATAATGCATGTCTTAGGACTGTGGGAGGAAGCCAAAAAAAATCAATCTAGAAAAAACACATGCTTAGAGTTAGCTGAAAAAAATACAATAAACACTTGGGTACAAACTGGAGATGGTGGTTTAGAAATATCATGAACAGCAAATCACTTAATTTGAAGAGGGAAACATTTTACAACAAACAAATCTTGTCATTTATTTGGTATAACTTGGACAAAACAAAAACAGATTTTTGTTAATACTGATTTGATTGTAGGACTCAAACACTAAAATCATGTTCTGTACAAATATCCACAAAAATGCTTATAAATAGTAATAAAACCAAAACATTGAATTAGAATTTACCCCAAAGTTCTGTCATGGCCTTTGAAATAGTAGGTTGAACAAATATCCTCTCTGTGGCATTTACAGATTAAATTAATCATAACGATGTATTTGCTATTCTATTTTATTTTATTTACTGTGTATATATTGTGCATTTTTCATTCTCACTTTATTTACTGTACTGCTGCTATTGCGCACAAATTTCCCCTTGGGAATTTAAAAAAAAGAATTTTTATCTATATTTTTGTTTCCTTATATTCCACTGCTATGTTCATACATCAAAAGTATTCTATACTGTAATATTATTTGGTGCATTTATTAATTGACTCACAGGGACTACAATCTGTCCAACAAAATCCATAAATTTATCATTGAAAAAACCTATGAGAATAACGTTGGCTGCGAGTCAGTTCTCGCGATAACACGTTTCTTCAAACCTTCCCATGAACCTTTGCGATTCCTCTTTCTAGCCGGCGCCTGAGAATGGGTACGTGTTTTCATGCTCGGGTCGGAGGGAGAATCTTTGTCCATCTGATGTTTTATGAAAGGAATATTTCTTTAATAGTTTGCTATCTATTTGCTAAACATTATTTGAAGAGATGCGTCTTTAACTTAGCTGACTACAGTCAGTTTGTTGCGTTTTAATGAAAAGATTTGTGAAGGCTTTGCGAAGTCCTCCAAGATGGCTGCACTCGTTGGCCATGGAGTTGGCGTAAGTGTGATAGAAAAAGGCAAAATTCGCTGTTAATGAGGTATTCTAATATTGAAATGCGATCCAGTGTTCTGTTTAAATTCTGTCCTTCGGGATTAATGTTTACGTTCTTCAAAGCTCCAAGCTATTGGCGAGGCAAAGTCGATTTTAGCATTAGCTAGCCGGTTAACGCTGAACATGTCACGTTGCTATGCTAAAATTCATCGTAATGGTCGAAATAATTATTATTTTTAAATTAATGTAGCCACTTGCAATCTTGCATATGCCGAACCTGTATCTGTAACTAACGTTTACGTAAGCAAGTCCTAACGTGGACACACGAGTTGCATGTTAGCCCTTAGTAGGCCTACGTTTCTTTTGAGGGCCCAACATTTCTGTTGTGACTGGTGAATTGGAAGCGTTTTGACAAACACGTGCTTCCCATTCCGTTTAATAGAACTTCAAATTAATATAGGAATTCTGACTTTCATTTTGAATAATCGTTAATGCAGCTAACCATCGTACTCAATTCACGGAAGTGCAGGCACCATTCAGCTGATGGAGGGATCTTAGAAATGGCTTGAGCTACATGATGAAACCAATGGAATCCATAATTAATATTGCGGACAACCTATACCTTGGAGAACTGATTGCCCAAGCTCAGAAAATAACACTGCAGTGTCCTTTTTGTTGTATCATGATTTAACCCCCGCTCTTGTCTATTCTAATCTTGTATTTCAGGTATCTCCAGGGATAACTGGCATAAACGCCGCAAGACCGGTGGTAAACGCAAGCCCTACCACAAGAAAAGGAAGTATGAACTTGGGCGCCCTCCTGCAAACACAAAGGTATGTATGAGCCAGTGTTCACCTACTCACCTACTAGATTTTGTAAAGCGTGAGTGATGAAAACATGACCTTAGGTTTGTCTTTTTGAGCCGTCTTGGTTCAAAGTTCTAGACCTACCAATGTTAGGACTTGTCATAGTTACACTGACCCGCTTCAACATATGCACTGTACGGTTTACAATTGTCATAACTTTTATCGACACAAATTAATGTGTGTGTGTTCTCTAGATCGGACCTCGTCGTATCCACACCGTGAGGGTCCGTGGTGGAAACAAGAAGTATCGTGCTCTGAGGCTGGATGTTGGCAACTTCTCATGGGGATCAGAGTGTAAGTTAATTTCCTGTTCTATTTTTCATCACACTGCCTTTGGTACACGTCTTTCTATGATGATAACTTTGTTCAGTTCTGCTACTGATTGCAAATGGTGATAATACGACACCTGAGTAAGGCCTGTTTCCAATGTGTTGCCCTTTTAAAGATATGTTTGACTAAAATAGTGGGAGAATTGACAGCTAATGGCGTTTTAATATATGAATGCAGGCTGCACACGCAAGACCAGAATTATCGATGTGGTCTACAATGCCTCAAACAACGAGCTTGTCCGAACCAAGACCCTGGTGAAGAACTGCATCGTCTTGGTCGACAGCCTTCCCTACAGGCAGTGGTATGAGGCCCACTTTGCCACTCCGCTGGGACGCAAGAAGGGAGCAAAGCTGGTACGTGTGCCAGAATTAATGTTTGTTTTTATGCCGTTAAGTGAAATACAAATTTATCATGGCCCTTCGCCTGGTACTAGTAGGTAGCTGAATTCCCTTCATGGAAATTGGTCGCACCTCCATATATTTGCTGGCCTGTTGCACTAGTCCGACATTAAAGTCTAAAATGCACTTTTCAGGGGATGCTTGATGGTGGGCATATACTTGGTTACAACTTGCGTCACCAACCGAAAAGTAGTTTGATCTCCCCAAAAGTCTTTCAATGAAGATAACTTCAGTTCTGCTACTGAATGACAGTGATGAAAATGAAGACCCCCCCCCTTGCGCTGTTAATGTAGTTTAGGAGAGTTGTGAGCTTTTCATTTGCTTGAATGTGCACCAACTGAAGTGTATTCCCCCCCTCTACTGTAGACCCCTGAGGAGGAAGAGGTCCTTAACAAGAAAAGATCAAAGAGGACCCAGAAGAAGTACGATGAGCGTAAAAAGACAGCCAAGATCAGCCCGCTCTTGGAAGAGCAGTTCCAGCAGGGAAAGCTCCTTGGTAAGTCCACATGTCAAGTATTGTAGTAGCTATCCTAAAATGCTTCAGGGTTATTTAATCCGCATCTTTGTAAAGACTGGTTGCTGTTAGTGGTTAAAACACAAGACTCCAGTATCTTGTTAGATGTGTCTGACCTGTTTCCTGGGGTTCATAATTTAATTTAAATATTCTCATATTTTTATAGCGATGTCATTTTGATAATCTGGTCTTTTGATGTTTGGATACATTCCACTTTATTTAGATATAAATTTCTACGTTCAACCAGATTTAAAAGCACTAGAATACTATTTTCCTTCATGGCATGCGTTAGACTGTCTGATTTGGTGCACGTCTTTCAATGAAGATAACTTCAGTTCTGCTACTGAATGAAAGTGATGTTATTAACTACTGAGAAAGACCTGTTGCCTACATGGACCTCTGCTGCATTGTTGATTCACCCCATCTGGGGAAGTTGGATGGTTGAACTTGCCCCCTATACCTGTGTTGCCACCAAATAAAAACTTCTACCGATTATGTATTACAATGTAGTTCCATAACATTTCTGCAACCTCAAACAAATTATTTGAGTCACTTACTATTTGTTTGCTTAGAATTTGGTTTATCCAGCTCATCACTGATTATTTTCTCCCCTCCTGCAGCTTGCATTGCATCCAGACCGGGCCAGTGCGGCAGGGCAGACGGCTACATCCTGGAAGGAAAAGAGCTTGAGTTCTACCTGAGGAAGATCAAGGCCAAGAAAGGCAAATAGATGTACAGCTGTTTGATACTTCAATAAAATACGAACGCCACAAACTGTCTGCTGACACTTCATGACTGGATGTGTTTAAATCTTGTGACCAGCTTGGACATAACATGTGAGAACATTTTATAAAGTGCATTAATTCTAATCTATATATTAAGTATTAGTTGGTAACCCGTTTAATATAGTGTAAAAATATATTGAAATAATGGCGGTTTTATGTAATTTAAACTTACGATTTATTAAACCAATAAACTTAAGGTGCCTGCATGTTCTACAATAAAATCAAAGTAACTGTTCGTGGGGGAAAAGACTGACAAGTCTGTACTCTGCGCCAATTATTGATATCAAACCAGAAATCCAGCTCCTCGTGCATTGAGACCTCAATTAAAGCCATTTACCCATTTAATACAATCCACCTACAATCACCTGAATAATGTTATGGATTAGAGCATTTACGTCTGGACCAGATGTGGAAAAACTTCCTTTAATCTTCAGAAGTAAACTTGACTAAGAGTCGAAACCAAACGCGCAGAAGCGGTGCTCAGTTCTTGTGTTCCACACATCTGGAACAAGCTCTCAAAGCTGCCAGTCTGCTAAGATGAAGACTTCTGTTAACGTATAAATCTTAAATCTGATTTAGGATTTCCAATTTTAACCCTTTAAAAAGTCCTTTGTGAGTTTGCTTCAAATCCCATTCACAAGCAAATTTCTCTATTTTTCAATAATATTCACAGGGAAATCTGTTAAAGCATGTCATCGTAAGTGAATACAGTGGTTCTGTCACCAACTCAACTTTTTCTGTCAAGACCCACTTTGGAGGAAGAAAAAGTTCATAGGCCAACGCCCAACTCAATTGTAGCAAATCAGTCCATGTTGACTGGTTACAATTGAGCAAACTGATTTGAGAGTAAACTCTTCATCCCTTCAGGAACTTGGTGTCTCAGGCTCTGCTCTCTCCCTTCTCTCGTTCTACCTTAAGGGCTGCTCCTACCGGGTAACCTGGAGAGGATCCGTGTCGGAACCTTGTCCTTTTACTACTGGAGTTCCTCAGGGTTCCTTCCTGGGTCCCCTCCTCTTCTTGCTCTATACCAACTCTCAGCTCTGTCATTCGCTCCCATGGCTTCTACTACCACAGCTATGCGGATGAAACCCAACTAATTCTCTCCTTCCCTCATTCAGGCACCCAGGTGGCAGCACGGATCTGACTGACATCTCTCAGTGGATGTCTGCTCACCATCTGAAAATCAACCCAGACAAGACTGAACTACTTCTCTTTCTGGGAAACGATTCTCCGACCTAGGACTTGACGGTTAGCTTCGGCAGCTCCAGTTAACGCTCGCTTTGACTGCTAGTAACCTCGGCGTGACGCTTGACTGTCAACTCTCCCTGACTCCCAACATTACTGCGACAACATGATCCTGTAGATACACGCTCTACAACATCGGGAAAATACATCCCCTTCTCACTCAGTCATTTCTAACTTACAAATGACATGTAATGTAAACCATTGTAAAAGAGTTTTACAACACTTGCAACAAATGCAACACTTACAGTGGGTGAAAGTGTCAGAAAGGTCATCGAAGGTCAAATGACTTTGAAGGGGCTCCATTTTCTGCATGGTTGTTACCTTTACTCTTTATACGTTCATGACAGAATCTATCAGAATCTATTATCTTAATTAGATTTATCATATATGCAAAGAATGCTGGAACAGAACGAATACTGCAAAAGTGGTTAAACTAGTGTGACGTGACCCCCCCATGATAGAATAAAGTGGAAAGTAACGAATTGGATCAGTTCCACCACTGCAGTACAATATATGAATGAGGCAATAAAACAATATTTCGCAGGGGTTATGTTCATTGAAAACAGCGTTTTGTAACGAGCACGTAAGGTGAATCTAACTGGGGGGAAAGTCATGTTCCGTATGACGGTGGACCACACGTGATCAATCCCGCTGCAGTGATTGGCCGAGAGGCGCATAGTTGCGTTTTATAGGCCAAAGGCTTTCAGCGCATTCTGTTTATTGGGGCCGGTGCAGTAACGGCATTTAACAATGCTCTTCAATAAGGTACGTGCCGTTCAAATAGCTTGAACTCACTAACGTGTGGCCTACATTCGTTATTTACATCTAGCTTCGTCCGAGTCAATCAAGTGACTGTTTTGCTCGCTAACGTTACGTCACAAGACGTCCCCACTACCGTTCATAACACCGCGAGTAGTAGTAACCTGCCGCATGTTGGTCACAAAGCGACCCGCTCTTATAACGTTCGTTGAATTGAATATATCGAAGCTAACGGACGAATTGCAATGCAGGAAACCTAAGCTGAACTGATGTAAGTAATAGTAGTACACGTAGTAGTAGTGTTAATAGTAGCGTTACCACTATTCGTAGTGATAGCTAGTTTCTAGCCGGCGCCTGAGAATGGGTTTGTTTTTTTCATGCTCGGGTCGGAGGGAGAATCTTTGTCAATCTGATGTTTTATCGAAGGAATATTTATTTTAATAGTTTGCTATGTAGTTGCTAAACATTATTTGAAGAGCTGCGTCTTTAACGTTTTTTGTCAATACTGGCTTAATTGTAGGACTCCGACACTACAATCATTTTCTGTACAAATATCCACTTAAATGGATTATAAATAGTAATAAAACTAAAACATTGAATTAGAATTTAGCCCAAAGTTCTGTCATGGCCTTTGAAATGGTAGGTTGAACAAATATCCTCTCTGTAGCCTTTACAGATTAGATTAATCATAATGTAACGTTTCGTGTCAATAAAGAGCCAGGTTCTTATCACTCGGGTTTATTGTTGCCTGTTGTTGGCCACAGCCACGCCATTCCACACACCCGGTCATCAACTTAGTCAGAACAGAACTTCCCCTTCCTGTGCTCCCCGAAAACTACACACATTTTTTTTTTTTTTACTGTGTATATATTGTGCATTTTTCATTCTCACTTTATTTACTGTACTGCTGCTATTACACACACATTTTCCCCTTGGGGATTAATTAAAGTTTATATCTATTTTGTTTCTTTATATTCCACTGCTATGTTCATACTTCAAAACGGTATTTTATTCTATATTGTAATATTATTTGGTACATCTGCATTTACTAATTGATTCACAGGGACTACAATCTGTCCAACAAAACCCATGAATTTATCATTGAAAAAACCTATGAGAATAACGTTGGCTGCGAGTCAGTTCTCGCGATAACACGTTTCTTCAAACCTTCCCATGAACCTTTGCGATTCCTCTTTCTAGCCGGCGCCTGAGAATGGGTACGTGTTTTCATGCTCGGGTCGGAGGGAGAATCTTTGTCCATCTGATGTTTTATGAAAGGAATATTTCTTTAATAGTTTGCTATCTATTTGCTAAATATTATTTGAAGAGATGCGTCTTTAACTTAGCTGACTACAGTCAGTTTGTTACGTTTTAATGAAAAGATTTGTGAAGGCTTTGCGCAGTCCTCAAAGATGGCTGCACTCGTTGGCCATGGAGTTGGCGTAAGTGTGATAGAAAAAGGCAAAAATTCGCTGTTAATGAGGTTTTCGAATATTGAAATGAGATTCAATGTTCTGTTTAAATTCTACCCTTCGGGATTAGTGTTTACGTTCTTCAAAGCTCCAAGCTATTGGCGAGGCAAAGTCGATTTTAGCATTAGCTAGCCGGTTAACGCTGAACATGTCACGTTGCTATGCTAAAATTCATCGTAATGAATTTTAATGGTCGAAATAATTATTATTTTTAAATTAATGTAGCCACTTGCAATCTTGCATATGCCGAACCTGTATCTGTAACTAACGTTTACGTAAGCAAGTCCTAACGTGGACACACGAGTTGCATGTTGGCCCTTAGTAGGCCTACGTTTCTTTTGAGGGCCCAACATTTCTGTTGTGACTGGTGAATTGGAAGCGTTTTGACAAACACGTGCTTCCCATTCCGTTTAATAGAACTTCAAATTAATATAGGAATTCTGACTTTCATTTTGAATAATCGTTAATGCAGCTAACCATCGTACTCAATTCACGGAAGTGCAGGCACCATTCAGCTGATGGAGGGATCTTAGAAATGGCTTGAGCTACATGATGAAACCAATGGAATCCATAATTAATATTGCGGACAACCTATACCTTGGAGAACTGATTGCCCAAGCTCCGAAAATAACACTGCAGTGTCCTTTTTGTTGTATCATGATTTAACCCCCGCTCTTGTCTATTCTAATCTTGTATTTCAGGTATCTCCAGGGATAACTGGCATAAACGCCGCAAGACCGGTGGTAAACGCAAGCCCTACCACAAGAAAAGGAAGTATGAACTTGGGCGCCCTCCTGCAAACACAAAGGTATGTATGAGCCAGTGTTCACCTACTCACCTACTAGATTTTGTAAAGCGTGAGTGATGAAAACATGACCTTAGGTTTGTCTTTTTGAGCCGTCTTGGTTCAAAGTTCTAGACCTACCAATGTTAGGACTTGTCATAGTTACACTGACCCGCTTCAACATATGCACTGTACGGTTTACAATTCTGTCATAACTTTTATCGAATTAAATTGTGTGTGTTCTCTACGACACCTGAGTAAGGCCTGTTACCAATGTGTTGCCCTTTTAAAGATATGTTTGACTAAAATAGTGGGAGAATTGGCAGCTAATGGCCTTTTAATATATGAATGTAGGCTGCACACGCAAGACCAGAATTATCGATGTGGTCTACAATGCCTCAAACAACGAGCTTGTCCGAACCAAGACCCTGGTGAAGAACTGCATCGTCTTGGTCGACCGCCTTCCCTACAGGCAGTGGTATGAGGCCCACTTTGCCACTCCGCTGGGACGCAAGAAGGGAGCAAAGCTGGTACGTGTGCCAGAATTTTTGTTTTCATGCCGTTTAGTGAAATACTAATTTATCATGGCCCTTCGCCTGGTACTAGTAGGTAGCTGAATTCCCTTCATGGAAATTGGTCGGAACGCGCCAGTTGCATCTTAACCTTATTTCACTCCATATATTTGCTGGCCTTGTTGGACTAGTCAAACATTGAGGTCTAAAATACACTTTTCAGGGGGTGCTTGATGGATGGCATATACTTTGTTACAACTTGCGTCACCAACGGAAAAGTGGTTGGACCCCCCCAAAAAAGTCTTTCAATGAAGATAACTTCAGTTCTGCTACTGAATGAAAGTGATGAAAATGAAGACTGAGAAAGACAAATTACCTACACCCACCACCCCCTTTTGTGCTGTCAATTTAGAGTAACGCAACTAGTGTTTAGGAGAGATGTGAGCTTTTCATTTGCTTGAATGTGCACCAACTGAAGTGTATTCCCCCCTCTCAGATCAGCCCATTCTTGGAAGAGCAGTTCCTGCAGGGAAAGCTCCTTGGTAAGTCGACATGTTAACTATTATAGTAGCTATCCTAAAATGCTTTAGGGTTATTTAATCTGCATCTCTTTGGAAAGACTGGTTGCTGTTGGTGGTTAAAACACAAGACTCCAGAATCTTGTTGGATGTGTCTGACCTGTTTCCTGGTGTTCATAATTTAATTTAAATATTCTCCTCTCAAATTCATATATTTATAGTGATGTCATTTTGATAATCAAATCTTTTGATGTTTGAATACATTCCACTTTATTGAGATATACATTTCTACGTTCAACTAAGTTTAAAAGCACTAGAATACTATTTTCCTTCATGGCATTCGTTGCAGACTGTGATTTGGTGCAGGTCTTTCAATGAAGATAACTTCAGTTCTGCTACTGAATGAAAGTGATGAAAATGAAGACTGAGAAAGACAAATTACCTACCCCCCCCCGCGCGCTGTTAATGTAGTGTAACGCAACCTGTGTTCAGGAGACTTGTGAGCTTTTCATTTGCTTGAATGTGCACCAACTGAAGTGTATTCCCCCTCTACTGTAGACACCTCCTCAACAAGAAAAGATCAAAGAGGACCCAGAAGTACGATGAGCGTAAAAAGACAGCCAAGATCAGCCAGCTCTTGGAAGAGCAGTTCCAGCAGGGAAAGCTCCTTGGTAAGTCGACATGTTAACTATTATAGTAGCTATCCTAAAATGCTATAAGCCTCGTTTATGATTCTGTGTTGTCAGAGCGCCGCAGACGCAAGACCCCCTTGTGTGCCTTTTCACACCTCCCTTGCGTGTGTCGAGCCATTTTTCTAGGCTTGCGACGCAAGCCTCCCGCAACGCACAAGGCATTGGTCCGCTAACTACATCCTTTACGGATTCTCACATTTCCGCTTTCATAGCCCGATACCACCATTATTAAAACGAATAATGTTTACGAGAGAACGGATCAGATTTAAGAACTTTTGTCGAAGAAATGCGTAAATATGACCACTTATACAAGCAGTCATTGGCGGGTTGGATTCACCGAGGGAGATCGCACAAGAGGTGCACAAAGTTGTGGAGGAAAAAAACGGGACTAATGTGTCCGCGATGAAAAGCAGCAGTGGCTATGCAGAGGGCAATAAAGTCTAAGATGAATAAATAAACAGACTCTGTAGGCAGTCTTCAACAAAAACGCATTACTCCCCCTGTTCTGGCAGTGAATTGCTCTGCGACACAGGCAAGCCTTTTAGAACCATGAATTGAAACGAGTGCGTTGACACAGAAGCATGCGCCAGCCTTTAGGGTTATTTAATCTGCATCTTTGTAAATACTGGTTGCTCTTGGTGGTTAAAACGCAAGACTCCAGAATCTTGTTAGATGTGTCTGACCTGTTTCCTGGGGTTCAGAATTTAATTTAAATATTCTCATCTCAAATTCATATATTTATATTGATGTCATTTTGATAATCAAATCTTTTGATGTTTGGATACATTCCTCTTTATTTAGATATAAAATTATACCTTCAACTAAGTTTAAAAGCACTGGAATACTATTTCCCTTCATGGCATTCGTTACAAACTGATTTGGTGCAGGTCTTTCAATGAAGATAACTTCAGTTCTGCTACTGAATGAAAGTGATGATAATGAAGACTGAGAAAGACAACAAATTACCTACAAGCCCCCCGCTCCCCTGCGCTCTTAAATCACTGATTATTTTCTCCACTCCTGCAGCTTGCATTGCATCCAGACCGGGCCAGTGCGGCAGGACAGAAGGCTACATCCTGGAAGGAAGAGCTTGAGTTCTACCTGAGGAACATCAAGGCCAAGAAAGGCAAATAGATGTACAGCTGTTTGATACTTCAATGAAATGCGAACGCCACAAACTGTCTACTGACACTTCTTTCTAACGGGATGTGTTTAAATCTTGGACATAACATGTCTTAACATTTTATAAAGTGCATAAATTCTAATCTGTATATTTTAAAGTATTAGTTGGTAAACCGTTAATATAGTGTAAAAATATATTTAAATAGCTGTTTGATGTCATTTAAACTTGTGTTAAACCAATAAACTGAAGGTGCCCGTATGTTTTACAATAAAACCAAAGTAACTTTGTGGGGCAAAAGACTGACAAATCTGTACTCTGCGCCAATTATTGATATCAAACCAGAAATCCAGCTCCATATGCACTGAGACCTCAATAAAAGCCATTTAAAAACAATCTGACAATCCACCTACAATCACCTGAATAATGTTATGGATTAGAGCATTTACGTCTGGACCAGATGTGGAAAAACTTCCTTTAATCTTCAGAAGTAAACTTGACTAATTGTGCGGAGTGCTTTGCTGAATGGTTAAAGCCAAAATACATGTCAGACCTGCTGCTTCCTTAGAAACCACCCCGACCCCACCAGGTTGTCTGTCGGGTCTGTTCTGCTCCCAGAGTCGAAACAACGCGCAGAAGCGGCGCTCAGTTCTTGTGTTCCACACATCTGGAACAAGCTCTCAAAGCTGACAGTCTGCTAAGATGAAGACTTCTGTTAACGTATAAATCTTAAATCTGATTTAGGATTTCAAATTGTAACCCTTTAAAAAGTCCTTTGTGAGGTTGCTTCAAATCCCGTTCACAAGCAAATTTCTCTATTTTTCAATAATACTCACCGGGAAATTATCTGTTAAAGCATGTCATCGTAGGTGAATACAGTGGTTCTGTCACTAACACTTAACCCTTTCTGTCAACTCACTTTGGAGGAAGAAAAAGTTCCTAGGCCTACGCCCAACTCAATTTTAGCAAACCAGTCCATGTTGACTGGTTACAATTGAGCAAACTGATTTGAGAGTAAACCCTTCAGGAACTTTGTCTCAGGCTCTCCTCTCTCCCTTCTCTCGTTCTACCTTGAGGGCTGCTCCTACCGGGTAACCTGGAGAGGATCTGTGTCGGAACCTTGTCCTTTTACTACTGGAGTTCCTCAGGGTTCCTTCCTGGGTCCCCTCCTCTTCTCGCTCTATACCAACTCTCTCGGCTCTGTCATTCACTCGCATGACTACTACCACAGCTATGCGGTTAACTCTGGCAACTCCATGTTAACGCCCGCTTTGACTGCTAGTAACCTCGCCGTGACACTTAACAGTCAACTCTCCCAGACTCCCAACAACACAATCCTGTAGATACACGCTCTACAACATCAGGAGAATACATCCCCTTCTTACTCAGTCATTTCTAACTTACAAATGACATGTAATGTAAACCATTTTAAAAGGATTTTACAATGCATATCTTTTCAAAACAAAACTAATAGATATGTGTGGACCAACTCAATGAGCCTGCTTTCCACGTTACCTTGGTGGGATTATTGATGGGGCGTTTAAATTAGACAAGCAGGTTAGCTCTGTGGTTAAGGCTAGCTTCGGCTTCTAGCCAAAGTCAACCGCCTACAGCTTGTGCAGAATGCAGCAGCCCGCCTCCTAACCGGGACAAAGAAGCATGGGCACATAATGCCAGTGCTTTCCTCTCTCCACTGGCTTCCGGTTAGGTTCAGAATTGATTTTAAGAATCTTTTATTTGTTTTTAAGTCTCTGCATGGACTGGTCCCAGAATATTTATCCAGCCTTATTAATGTGCATCAACCCTCCAGAGCCCTGTGGTCAGCTGACCAGCTGGTTCTGAACGTTCCTCGGTCGTTCCTTAAAACAAAAGGAGATCGAGCCTTCGCAGTAGCGGCTCCCAGACTGTGGAATGCTTTGCCGTTTTCTGTGCGGTCTGCGACGAGCCTTTCCACTTTTAAAACTCTTAAGACTCACTTCTTCACATTGGCCTTTGGCTGAGGTAAATCACCTGCATCGATCTTTTATGTGTTCGCTTTTTACTGTTTATTTTATTTTTTGCATGTTTGTTTTACGTTTGCTTGTATTGTTTTATTGATGCTGATTGTTTTTATCCTGTAAAGCTGGCCACTGGCCTTTAAAAGTGCTGTATAAATAAAATTGACATTGACATTTCCACTACAAATCTTTTCAACTTGCAGACGTGATACGGCCACCCTCAATTCACTCAATGTTGAGCTTTGATCTGTATTTCATTTTGAGAGAGGCAACAGCAGGAAAGCGGATCTCACAGGTAGGAGGATGTGGCGTCGGGACGCAGAATGCCCACAGCCTCGTGTCCGATGGATGGTCGCCAAGAGCAACGAGCATGGAATCTGGTTTGTGCTCCATGTTGATGGTCACATCTAGTCATCTGGGGAAAATGCAACACTTACGGTGAAAGTGTCAGAAAGGTCATCGAAGGTCAAGGGGCTCTATTTTCTGCATGGTTGTTACCTTTACGCTTTATACGTTCATGACATAATCTATCACAATCTATTATTTTAATTATATTTATCATATTTGCAAAGAAGGCTGGAACAGAACAAATGCTGCAAAAGTGGTTAAACTAGTGTGACGTGACCCCCCCCCCCCCATGATAAAATAAAGTGTAAAGTAACGAATTGGATCAGTTCCACCACTGCAGTACAATATATGAATGAGACAATAAAACAATATTTCCCGTGGGGCTATGTTTATTGACTGTAAATATCGTTTTGTAACGAAGGTGAATCTAACTGGGGGAAAAGTCATGTCCCGGATGACGGTAGAAGCCACGTGTTCAATCCCGCTGCAGTGATTGGCCGAGAGGCGCATAGTCGTTTTATAGGCCAAAGGTTTTCAGCGCAGTCTGTTTATCGGGGCCGGAACAGTAACGACATTTAACAATGCTCTTCAATAAGGTACGTGCCGTTCAAATAGCTTGAACTCACTAACGTGTGGCCTACATTCGTTCTTTACATGTAGCTTCGTCCGAGTCAGTCGAGTGACGGTTTTTCTCGCTAACGTTACGTCACGGCGGTTTTGGTCTCCGTAACACAAGACGTCCTCACTACCGTTCATAACACCGCGAAAGTAACGCCTGGGCCTCAAGTAGCCTGCCGCATGTTGGTCACAAAGCGACCCGCTCTTATAACGTTCGTTGAATTGAATATATCGGAAGAAGCTAACGGCCGAATTGCAATGCAGGAAATGAAGTAATAGTAGTACACCTAGTAGTAGTATTAATAGTAGCGTTAGAACTATTAGTGGTGGTAGCTAGTTGTGCTGGTACTTTGAGTTAGCTGTGCACCGGGTCATAATTATAGTTAAATGTTCTTAATCAATACACTAACTTAACTTACAACAACACATTTTTGCTGTTGTCCTTCCATAAACACTACTTGTTTACATATAAATAAGCTATGTTGATTCTTTTTCAAGTACCTTTTTTCAAACATACTGATACAATAGGCAGTATCAATGTTAGTACTAGTACAAATAACATCCTAACAACACCCGTCCCGAGCTGCCACAAACATTGGCATTTGTCACGGCAGCTCGGCTGGTGACAGAACGTGCCCTTGATAGCTGCCACTGCCACAATTGGAGCCAGCTCCTGCTGAAAACTCGAAGGTCGTTGAACACAACTCATTGGAGGCCAGTTTTGAAAGATGTTGTTGTGTGTGTGTGTGTGTGTGTGTGTGTGTGTGTGTGTGTGTGTGTGTGTGTGTGTGTGTGTGTGTGTGTGTGTACAAAAGGTGCGGCTACATTTCAGGAATCAGGAATCAAGAACATTTATTACCAAAATATGTTAGATATACAAGGAATTTGACTTGTTGTTTGGTGCTTTAACATTTGTGTCAGTTTTGGGATCGCTTGATAGAGGAATAGTTGCAGCTCATAAAACACCATCTTTTTTAAAAGCCAGCAGATAATCGAAACTTTATGGATTTGGAAACTGCCTTCACTTAAACCCTAAATGTATAAGTGACCCCTGTGCTCTTCATGTCTACCTCTGTGAATGCAATCCATCGAAGACACTAACTGGGAAGAGCTAATGTTTTAATAACTTGTTACTTAAAACAGAAAAATTAGGTGTGTTTTAAATTCTCCTTTCACAGGTTTTAAAAGCCGGTGTGCGGTCTGGGGTCCGGCTGCAGAGATCCAGTTTTGCGGCATCCGGTGCTGAAGCATCTCACTCGGGCCAACCAGCATCTCCCGGCTTCTCTTTTGGTGAGTGGGATGCAGGAACCTACATAATATTAAAGGATAGCTTCACTTTCTGTCATACCTGCTTTAAAGCAATGGCAACTTCCCCATATCTACATATACCATATCTACTCGTAAGGCATTGTGGCCTTCTTTCCATTTTATGCTGAAAAAGATTTGAAACTTTAGGGCTGACACAATATGGTTGAACACTTTTCATGAGTGGCAACGTGATTCGATCAGCATATTGCTTTGAAACTCTGTCAACTTATGTTGTTCTTGTTTGCCATATTTCTTAGTGAATTATTTTTTTGTCATTGTAACATCTGTCAAACTGAGTATATGCAGCTTGAGACATCATCATTCAGGGGGTACGCTTCATTTGGCAGAAGCTCTGACACAGTGCAGTGAAGCAGTGGGCCATTTCAAAAATGATGTGGAAGAAAATGTGTTCCTTTTTCTTTAAAGGCGGTTGAAGTTGCTCATCGTTGCTCTTCTTTCTTCTGCTTTGCCCGACAGAGCTGACGGATGAGCAGAAGGAGTTCCAGCAGCTGGCGAGGAAGTTTGCCCGTGAAGAGATCGTTCCTGCCGCGCCTGCTTATGACAGGAGTGGTGAAGTGAGTGTAGCACAAATATTGAGTTGCAGCTGGTGTGTCGTGTGTGTGATTAAATACAGCTTGTCTTGATAAGTTTGCTGACGTAAAGGCTTTTAGATGTCATTGTACGTTGTACTTTCTGTCTGTATCACTTGGTAAAGTCGTGTGCGCTAAAAGGTCACAAGCATTGTTCAGCGTTGCAAAGCTTTTTAACGTCCATTATTTTAATTTATTCTGTCATTATAAGTTATTCGTACGGTCGCGATCCTGCTGTAATGAGAATTTATCCTCAAGTTGGTCTTAGAACAGACAGAAGTTTGAATAACTATTTCAACCATTTGCTTATTTATTCATCATTTTGCAGTATCCTATGCCCATCATCAGGAAAGCATGGGAGCTCGGTCTGATGAATGGTCACATTCCACAGAAATATGGTATGTTATTTTCTTGCTCACTGTTATTTATTTATTTATTTTTTATTTGAAAAAGATTAATCTTTTGCATGACGCCATCCAGGGTGCCTCCTTTGTGGTCGGCCATACAGTTCCTGTCACATATTATCTAAAGATAATGACCTAATCAAACCCCTTACTTAATTAATATATATATTGAATTTGCTGTGTGAAACCTTCGCCTTAGTTTGCTAATACGTATTTTTGGTATCCATGACGATGGTTTGTTTTATATGCAAGTTGGTTGAGGTCTGTTTAAAACCCTGCTATGTTTGTCTCTTTGTGTTCAGGTGGAATGGGCTTGTCAATCTTTGATAACTGCATCGTCACAGAAGAGTTGGCTTACGGCTGCACTGGAGTACAGACCGCTATCGAGGCGAACTCTCTGGGAGTAAGTTGCTAGCATTCTATTTGCATTACAGTAGTATCTAACTAGTATTTCATCTCTTCACAAGAAAATAGTGCTATCCACCGAATAGAACAGAAATTTAGATAAATGGTATTGCAAAGGCTGGAAATATAAATAAAAAAACACACCCATCTGATACCGATTTTTGTGGGGAAATTTATTTTGACACTCCCGCTGATTGTTATGCAAAGTCAGCCGATTACAGTCAAACAAACACACCTTCGTCAAATGATATGGCCACTCATCTGTGCGTCTTGTCTAATGTGATTTCTATTTGGACGATGTTATGTTATTAGAGAGGAAGTGCATTATTGAGGGTAATAGCCCTGTTGATACTGAGGATTGTGATCATTTTCTGCCATATATATTGAAAAATGTGCATTAGTCATAACGCTGATTAATAAAGGTGACCATAGTTCAGTTGAAATAAAGTTATACCTGTTTTTCCCTTTTAGCAAATGCCTGTTATTCTAGCTGGCAGTGACACACAAAAGCGCAAATACCTTGGAAGAATGACCGAGGAGCCTCTTATGTGTGTAAGTATTTAATAAAGTAGCAGGGATTTTTTTGCTTTCCTTACTTTATTCTACTTACTATTCCTGTTCATCTGGCTCAATCTCACACCAGATCTGATGGAATTAACTAAAGTGTGGTGCGTTTTCGGCAGGCGTACTGCGTGACGGAGCCCGGGGCCGGCTCTGATGTGGCCAGCATCAAGACGCGAGCTGTAAAGGATGGCGACGATTATGTTGTTAACGGGCAGAAAATGTGGATCACCAATGGAGGGAAAGCTAACTGGTGTGTGTGTGTGTGTGTACACCAACCACATATACTCCGTTTACACATTATGTTTGGCACGCAGTTTTTGGTCCAACCAAAACTTCCCCTTATAACCATATCCAGGAGTTTGGACTGTAATAGTTCTAGCTGGACCTCTGAGTTTGTGTAAATACTTGGAGACACAATGAGAACATAAGCATCCATCCCTTGTTCTGACGGTTCTGAACCTTTTATACCTCTTTTCTATTCCTAGGTACTTCCTCCTGGCCCGCACTAACCCAGATCCTAAATGTTCCACTGGCAAGGCCTTTACGGGCTTCATTGTGGAGGCTGACACTCCGGGAATTCTGATAGGAAGAAAGGTAAGATTAGGCTCAATGGATTTGTCCTCTAACACAAATCAAATCTAGTTTTGTTGGGGATGTCACTTTTAAAATAAGCATTTTATATTGTTATATTTGTACAGCTGACTGTGCTTTCAATGTTATCTTGAAGTAAAAGGAAACTTTCTTGTTTTTCTCGTGTTATTACATGTGTGCACCCAACCCGCTGTGATAGATGAAACGGGGGGAGGGGGGGTATATAGGGATGCGGCTCCAATGGTTCAGTGAAAAGTCACCAAAACCACCAGATTCCAACAATAGAGCCGCCCGGGTTTACTTGAGACTGATTTGAGAGGATCATTGTGTTTATAACTCTACTTTTATATTAGTGTTGTGTCAATCATTATGATGGAGGATTAGATTATATTTGAAAGGGAATACGTCTGTGGAGATCTGTTTTAAAATGAACTCTGATGTGTGCAGACGAGATAACGTGTATTTGTTTTTGTGCTTGTAGGAGATGAACATGGGCCAGAGGTGCTCTGATACCAGAGGCATCACCTTTGAGGATGTGAGGATACCAAAGGAAAATGTCCTGATTGCAGAGGGAGCTGGCTTTAAGATTGCAATGGGCGCTTTTGACAACACCCGGCCCCCAGTAAGTATTGGCCTTGGTAACAGTGCACTTTACTAAATGGTGTCCTCTAGCAGCAGAATATTATACCTTTAGGATACATGTGCACATATAAACAAATAAGTTTAAACTGATTTAAATTAGATTTCTATTGAAAATCCGGAAAACATAAAAAATAAAGTTCAATGTTCTTTTTTTTTTTTTTCACCAGAGATTACTAACACGTGTGTATTTTACATAGCATCTGACGTCACCAAATGTAAGGACACTCGAGGCAAAGGAAACACCAATGAGTACTTGTATTTGTCATTGAATATTTCTGTCTGTGATAGTACTAATGTAACGAATGCAATGCAGGTGGCAGCAGGAGCAACGGGGCTTGCACAGAGGGCCCTTGAAGAAGCTACTAATTATGCCCTTGAGAGGAAGACTTTTGGCAAAGTTATTGCTGAGGTTTGTTCTATTTCTTTTATCAGCAAAAAAAAACCCTGCGCGTTTGGTCCAAGCCAGAGTTGACTGCATCACGCTGTTGTGGCAACGCTGTCATTCGTGTAACCATCATGGTAACGAATTGTGACCACCCGTTTTAAAGTGCGTCCTCCTGCTTCACAGCACCAGGCCGTGTCCTTCCTCCTGGCTGAGATGGCGATGAAGGTGGAGCTGGCCCGGATGGCGTACCAGCGCTCCGCCTGGGAGGTGGACCAGGGCCGCAAAAACACCTACTATGCCTCCATCGCCAAGGCATTCGCCGGGGACATCGCCAATCAGGTGGCCTCTGATGCCGTTCAGGTGTTTGGAGGAAACGGCTTCAACAGCGAATACCCGGTGGAGAAGCTGATGAGAGACGCTAAGATCTACCAGGTGGGTGGTCCCGGCTGCGCTCCTGATCTCTGCCAACAGACAGAGCTTCATTTTGCTGATTGTTATTTTTGATATCCGTTGCTAGATCTACGAGGGCACAGCTCAAATCCAAAGACTCATCATTGCCCGAGAGCACCTGGGAAGATACAAGAAGTGAACCCTGCACACCTGACTTGTCCTCGTTCCCAAATCACGTGTGTTCTGCTAACACGGTAGTAACGTATTGTTTGACTAGAAATTGTAAAGAATATGCCATTGCTATGATTGTTTGCCTTAACAGAATTCAGATGTAGTGTTTTGGTTTTGTTGAAGATGAGCTCAGAACAGTGGCCTTTATTTGATGACTTGTTGAGTTGAGGATGCCCACATTCAGGCAAAATATAACGTGTCCGTGTCCTGAAAGGCCACAGCATCTATTGGTTGTAAATAATTGCTGCCAGGCACAAACACTGCTGTTTTTGGTAGCCATCTGGACATTACTCTGTTAGGTGGGTTTTTTTATGTGATATCAGTGTAAAACCAAGCAGAACCAATTAAATCTTTATCTGTACAAATCGGTTTCTCACCAGAATGTGTTGCTAGTATTCATTTTGTTCAGAAAAGCAAGCTGTCTGAACCTGTTTACGGTCGTATTAAAAGCATTAAGGGTCATAACAACAGTTCTGTGTTTTAGATGATTGATTTACATCTACCGTGTTTGTGGGATACGTAAAATGTATTTTGTGGTAATCAAACATAATCTCCCGTTTCCTAAATTCAACCATCAGTCTGGCTTTACAGCCTTGTGTATATATTCGATGATTTACGTATCATTTCATGTAATTTTGCAATACAGTTGCACAATTCATCTGTAGGCATTTTTCAACACAACAAACAAAATAAAAACAATTATACATTCCTGTAGTGCAGCTACAGTTTTTAAATGTACATCATAAGAATTGTAAACTGCTGCCCCCATGTAAACTGTGTGCACTGATGCAACCCTGGTGTACTTTGTTTAAAGCAGAACATTTGCTTTTTACTTCTACAGACTGCATTCATGCGTGTGGCGCTCAGTTGCTTAGATTATCACGGCAGAGAGAACTTCCCGATCAAGTGGAAAAATCTCCCACGTCGGCTATTTATTTTGGAGCTTTTGAGCGAGTCACTTGGCCTTCATCAGATAACTGTTTACTTTAATTATAACTATTTTATATAACATTTAAGAAAACGGGCTAATTTCCACTCATTGCTGATAGCATAATAATTATATATAATGATTCATAAAATTAGGAATATGATCATATGTAATATAACTTTGCTAAAAAAGTGACAGTTCAGTTTAATGATTATAATATGTGTGTAAAGATATAAGGACAAAATATATTCATAAAACATGGAGGGGAAAAAAAACATAATTCCCGATCCGTAGTCCTGAAACTGATTCCCTATTTTGTTAAAGTAAACATTCATTTTGTTTATTTAAATGTTATAATACAAATCAGACAAATCAGTCACATAATGATGATAATAATACGAACAATCCCCAAAAATGACTAACAAAATCCGTTCAAGCCGGAGCACTTTGCACTTTAAAGTCATAAAGCGGATCATTTGCCAAACAGTAGAGGGCGCCAAAACTCCGAGCTGCGCCAAATAGAAGGAGAAGAAGAAGAGGAGGAAGAAGAAGAAGAAGAAGAGGAGGAGGAGGAAGCCTGATCATGCAAACACAGTTAGAATGGTAACCGGTGTCATGTTGTTCTTGCTATAGTTAACGTTAGTCACTGTAGTTTGAGATAACATTGCCTCAATACATCGAAGTGTTCACATATCTTCATTCTATCCAGCTTCAGCGCCACAGTCGACCATTATTGTGTGAAAGCAGCTAAAATGTAAGCTAGCATGAGTGCTAGCATGTTAGCTCGTTGATGGCACCATCTGAAAACAACTCGTTCATTTAGCTTCATGTTACGGTTTTTCTCAGTCGCGTTTGCCAGCGGCATTTTGCGGTGCTGAGGATTACATCGAATTGAAACAAGGCCAGTCTGAATCTGCATTACGTTTTAAATGTGTTGTGTCGTACTGTCAGGGTACCCAAGTGAAAGATGTCATCATTAAGCCCGATGCTCCCAGCACGCTGCTGCTGGACAAACATGCCGACTACATCGCTGCCTACGGCTCCAAAAAGGATGATTATGTGAGTAAACACCCATCTTCAGGGGCTTGTTTGTTTAGTTTTTTTTTATCAACTTTCCAGTTACTTCAGTGTGCTTTTACTTTTTTGTTTCAAAAGCACAATGTTCACGCGTTTAAAGGCAGGTTCATATTTACATGTTCCTGCAATATTTTCCTGCTTGTAGATTTTATTCTGTTTACTGCCAACACACCCTGTATTTTGTTCACCTGGGTTTTTACCCTGTTTTATTATACAACATTCATGAATTTGCTTTTTTTTTTTACAACGTTGTTTATTATTTTACTAAATAAAGCAAATGGATTTCCTGTTTCCATGGTGCTGTAGAGTATTACGGTCCTGCTCTCCCGTTCGTTCATGTTTCCCGTTTGGGTTGACGCAGGAGTACACGCTGTCAGAGTACCTGAGGATGAGCGGCATCTACTGGGGACTGACTGTGATGGACCTGATGGGGCAGCTGCCCCGCATGAACCGGCAGGAGATTGTCGACTTCATCAAATCCTGTCAGCACGAGTGTGGAGGCGTCAGTGCCAGCATCGGACACGACCCCCACCTCCTCTACACCCTCAGCGCCGTCCAGGTGACGCCATGAAATCCGACCGAATCACAGACTGTTTAATAGTGTATTCTTAAGCAGCCGTGGTTCTGTGTTCTGCATCTGTGGTTTTTAGTGATTGTTCCTCTGGAAGAATCTTTGATTAAAATTGTAAATTCTTCATTTCTGTTTTATTTTGTTTTTAATTTTTTTTGTCTAATCTATTTAGTTTAATCTCTTCCTCAGATCCTTTGCTTGTATGACAACGTGGATGCGCTTGATGTGGACAAAGTGGTAGAGTACATTAAGGGGCTGCAGCAGGAAGACGGCTCATTTGCGGGCGACAAATGGGGTGAGCATTCCTCACAACGGGTGAATGAAAAGAAGACAAGATTTTTAGTAAAGGAGATACAATAATAGTTGTATAGCATTTGTTTAGATTATAGTTTCCTTTTAATACAGTATTTAAATACTAGAATATGTTTGAAATTACAATTAGAATGCGTTATCTTCACAGGGGAAATAGACACAAGATTTTCCTTTTGTGCGGTTGCTACACTTGCATTACTGGTATGTATGTATTTTCACGTACGTACCTCTTTTCTCACGCGTCACAATCTGAAGATGACTCTCGCTTGCATCCTTCTCCCCAGGGAAAGATTGACTCTATAAATGTTGACAAAGCCGTGGAGTTTGTCTTGTCCTGTATGAACTTTGACGGCGGTTTCGGCTGCAGACCCGGTTCAGAGTCTCATGCTGGTCAGGTGAGTCCACCGATGTCCTCGTGTGGGAGTTTCACTTATTCTTTCATCTCAGCAACAATCTTAAGTTGAGGAAATTGCGTCCAACTTGATGAAATCACAAACGTAAGGCTGTCCGCTGGTCTTGTGGGACAGAGTTACATTTATAAACTGAGGCGCCGTCAGTCCCCCGACGTTTACTGAAAGGCGACGGCAATTACATTCGCACTCCTCTCGGGCTTCAACGGGTCCTTCTCAAACGTATTTGTGATATTCTTCTCCCTTGTGTCTCAGATATACTGCTGCTCTGGCTTCCTGTCGCTCACCGGTCAGCTGCACCAGGTGAACGCTGACCTGCTGGGCTGGTGGCTCTGCGAGAGGCAGCTCCCGTCCGGAGGCCTCAATGGACGCCCAGAGAAGGTGCGACTTGGAAATTGTGTACCTCCATATCATTGTTAAACATTTACCAAATCAGACTATAAGGATTCCTGAAGTAACTCTACTAGGTCTTATTTCCTCTGGTCTGGTTCACCAAACTACAGTTATTGGAAGAGTTAAAACGGCATCATCTGTAGTCTGTAGTTATTTAAAGTTTCCATAACTAGTCAACAGTATTTAACTTTACACTTCAGTCAGATTAGGTTGCAGTACTGACCCACCTCTGGCCTCCTTTGCCGCGTTCAGCTTCCAGATGTGTGCTACTCGTGGTGGGTCCTAGCATCCCTCAAAATCATTGGGAGGATCCACTGGATCGACAAGGCCAAGCTGCGTTCATTTATACTCGCTTGCCAAGATGAGGAGACCGGAGGTTTTGCCGACAGACCGGGAGACATGGTGAGCTCTCGCATGCCACCCACGCCGGCATGCCGCAACAGAAATGGGAAACGTATATTTAATTGTCTCTTGACTGAATCCTGTCTCCTCTTCCACCTCCTACAATCCCATACTTGTGTTTCTCTCCAGCCACAAGTGCAAAGCACAGTAACGTACAGAATGAATATTGGGTATGAATTCACTAGGTACAGAATGAGCGGGATTAACAGTGTAAATATTCACTGAAACTCGGCAAAAAATAGACCACTACCTGAAATTCATAACTCATGCAAATACATTTATATGATCTACATAAACCCGGTTAGGTCAAGTGTGTGCTGACTCCAACGCTTGTTGAGGACAAAGAGCCCCTCACATCGGCGCCACGCTCCACATTTCCCACCGCTTGACTTTGACGCGTACTTTGCATGCCATTATATTTTTGCCTCTTTTAAAAAAGTGTTCTTGAATTGAATTTATACAGCGTGTTATTTATAGGAGGAGGACATGCATTTGTGTCCACGATTGTCATTGCGCCTCCCACTGTTCCCGCAGGTGGATCCTTTCCACACTCTGTTCGGAGTTGCGGGTCTCTCCCTCCTCGGAGACGAACAGGTCAAGGCGGTTAATCCGGTCCTCTGCATGCCCGAGGACGTCCTTCAGAGGATTGACCTGCAGCCTGACATCCTCAGCTAGTCATCATCATCACCCCCCCACACACACACACACACACCCACCCACCCACTCACAAAGACGCACTCTGCTGAACAACCACGGCTGGATGTCAGCAGCAGAGAGCCGCACACGCGTCTCTGTGTCAGCTAAGGTCTACGGATACCCGTTTTGAGATGCAGGACTTCGTCTCTGCTACCTAAAGCCAAAAAGAGTTGTGTGCAGTGGTGAGCTGGTTTCTCTGTCTTCAAACCCTCAACCGCTCAATTGTTATCGGCCAGAAGACGGAGACCATTGTCTCTCTCTTTTTAATGTGCGTGAATGACAAAGAAGTATTCAATCTCTCTATTGAATTGAAAACACATGTGTGGAACAGACGAACATGAGCACGTTTGCTCAGTGGATTCCATGTTTTGTGGCCTGAGACACTTGACCGGTTTGAAGACGTCACATCTTTCTTTTTTCTTCGTTTGTTTTGAACTAGTGCAAAACTACTACAGCTGTGGTAATTGGTAAGACCTGGCGATGCAACAAAGTAGTGTTGATGTTCCTTCAGCTGTCAATCCATGCAGATATTGTGCTTTTTGCTGGACCTGGTTAAAAAAAGGCAGTATTTTTGTTTAAACGTACTCGTGAGAGTATATTTAACGTCTCATCCACACTCACAGCTACACTATTTATTTAGATCCATGGTACTCTGCTGTATTTGGTGATGCAGCTGGGGGTAAATGCTTCAGATTCCCTCCCAAACTGAAATATTTCTTTTGGGTTTTTAATTCTTGAGTGTTTTAACCATACTAAATTGGTTAAAATGTTGTTTTCTTTGTAATGCCACACACTTGTCTTACTGAAAGCAAATTGTATCTGTTGTTGGATAACTGTTCATGACATCATAATATAAGATAAATAAATCAAGTTGAATATATTTATTCAGTGTCGGTTCTTATGCAAAAAAGCTGCTTTCTGTGGCCAACTTTGAGAATGGAACTTATTTGTTCTCTTGGTTAGAGAATGTAATGTTGAACATTTCTTTTGTTTGTCTGAATTAAAACATGTTTCCAGCTAACATTTCCCAACAATAAAAGTCAGAAAGGCATGCGACATGCTTTAATTCCAGGTTTAAATCACGGAAATAAGTGTTTTTTAAATTTAAAACCGATCTATGGTGTAACTGTGACTCACTTCAACCTTTCTACATCACATCCAATTTGAAGCTGCAGCAATAACGCCGGCACCCCAGAAAAGGCCACAGCTGACACCGAATGAGAAATTGGGTTTCGTGGCCGTGGCAGATTGTAATAATGGAGCGTGAAGATTGATGCGCGCCCGAGGAATTAGAGGCAAGAAAATTCTGGCTTACATGATTTCTTCCTTGTAGTATAGATAAGTGTGGTATGATTCTCCTGCAATGTACAGCCGCATAAGAAAATGACGCTTTTTTTCCTGGGACACTCTGAAAATGACTCATGATTAATGAATGCAAAATGTCTGTCCTATAATAAAGCGATGACAGTACAAAGGTGGAAGATTACCACCTCCATTCACTAATGATGGCTTTGAGGGTGGGGCTACACATTCTTGTATAGGGTCATAAGGTTGGGGAATGCGGTTGCATCCTGACATTTTGGCTCACTTTGCAGCAGTAGGCCTGTGTTCCTTTCGGAGGGGAAAGAAGGTGGGGCTGCATTTAACTGTAGTTATTTTGCATCTCTTTGTGGTCATTTTATTTCCATGTTAACTTCACACAGAGCCTCCGGGGCCTCTGGTCCGGCGATACGTCATCGGGGTCCGTCTGTGTCCATCCGTCTGCTCCTACACGCGTTGTTTCATCGAGTCCATCGAGCGTCTCAGTGCAGCTCAGAAGCCGCAAACAAATATTTCACAGACTTGACAGCCTTGTGCGTTTTCTATTTAGTTGTATTTTTGTAGAGGCCTTAGGAGAGCAGTAATCTTTGCCCCCATCCTCCCGCCCCCCCCGGTGCCTGGGCAGAGACAAGCACGCTTGTTGTTGTTAGGCTACCGAGAAACCCCCACCAGCTCTCATTATCGAAGAAAAGAGAGACGACGAGGAAGACAGAGGGTGGTAGAGAAGGAAAAAAACAACAGCGTGATTGAGCGATGGAGGCCGAGAGTGAGAAGCTGCAGAGAGGGAAGCAGGAAGAGAGACGGATTGATCGCAGCCTTCGGCCCTCGGTCTTGTTTTGTTTGTAAGGAAAAGGCACAACCCCATTTTTCCTCCCTCTCCTCTTCTCAGTCTTGTCATCGTCTTGTTATCTCAGCACAAAATGTGGAGGGATTAGTGCAGGCCACAGGGGCTGAGCCAAATGTGGCTGAACCGCAGACACGGCAGACAATCGGCTTGATAAATGTTTAATTAAACCGCCGCAGTGTTGCGTCTGTACGTGGTCGACTCACAAGTTTGGTGGGAAATGGAAATGCTTTTAAAACGTCTCGGGCGAGAGATTCGCGTTCAACTTTTCACCCCCATCTGTGGTTATTATCAGGAAATAACATTATTTTTGCCCGACTCCTCTGGCAGGGTCTGATTTTATAGCTCAATACTCTTGTCATGGACAGAAGACTTGTTTTTTGTTCGGATAAAGTTTGTTTCCACCGGATCGGGAACTTCCCTCGTGTCACTGTTCACAGAGCAGCAGCTCTGCTGGTGAGGAGGCTTTGGTCAAAGTTCTGCTCTCCTCCACCTGTCACACATTCATGTGTGACGGGGCTTTGATAAAAGTTAAAGGATGTGAGCCGATGTCTGAATTCCAACCTAAAGGTCTGAGGATCAGCAGCAGTCCAGCTGAAGGAAAGCAAACGCTGCTCTGCTGAGGCCCGCGCAGACTTTCTGTCTGTCGGAGAATCACTTTTCAGATGTTTCAGTTCATGTCGAGGATGAAAATGACATCGCAGTTCATTTTCAGGGAATGAATCAATGTTTTGGGAGTGTACTCCGTTGTTGAAGAAATGAAAATAAAAAGAACACCGCTCTCGTGTTAGATAAATAGGAAGCGATTACTAGCAGCTTAGCTTAGCATAGCACATAGAATGGAAACAGAGAGGCAGCCGGCATTTTTTTGTTCAAAGTGAACAAAATCAGCCGACCACAGCTTTTTAAGCACAGAATTTAGTATTGTTGTGAGCAGGAAGTTGTTAGTTAATTAATGGAGGCTCCAGGAAATTAAAGCTCACGATAAAGCCACCATTTTTTTCTTTTGCGTGAATCACTCAAAACAATATAAGTTGTTAGTAAGTGAGTTTTAGAGGTGATTTCAGGCCTTTATCTCTGTTTCTGTAACAGCGCTGAGATAAACTAAAATAAGCTGTTTCTCTTCCTTTCATTCATTTGCAGTCAGTTCTCATCAGGCCTAACTAATGCCTTTATTTAGCTTTCATTTCCTATCAATATACTGTTATAACCACTAAGGGGCAGTGAAGCACAAATCCTGCGCACACCAACTGCATGCTGATGATGATGACCATTTTCAGAGGTTTTGTTTTTTTTAGTAGATGATGGAGATACTGTCAAAAAGAAACAATGAAATAACCTTAAAGGGACTCGGGACAGTTTAAGACAAACCATTACTCATATTAACAGAAGGAAAACATCATGTAAACGAACACGTGGCATTTCATGCTTCCTTTTACTGGCAGCAGAGTTAAATCCTTCGTATTGAATCAAGATGATTCATCCCGTCAAGCCGTCCGGGGAGCAGAGAAGAAACATGGAACAGCAGCTTATCCGCTGTTTCTGCAGCTGGAGGCATTCTGATGGCCGACTTCATCCTCTGTACACAGCTGCAGTCTGAAATGCTCCACTCGTGCTGAGTGCTGCTTGAGGTGCGCTTTATGTGAGTCACAGCTACACAATACCTGTTCTACAAAGCAAACCACCACTACATTTTAAATGGTTACTTAATTAAAAGATAATCAAGAGCATTTTTCACGAAGCAGCATAACAAAAAGACTGAATGTTGTAGAGGGTTTCAGACAGAGAGTACAGCTTAAAAACGGTCTCTTAAAGTCCCAGAACATACTGTACCTCAGTAATCTTTTAAAATGTTCTAATAGCAAGTGGCGGCTGCTGATCTGTCTGACATTATGACTAGTTAAATATGCGAGAAAAAATCCAGATTTGATAAATCTATCCATCTGTCATACAAAAAGCAGTTCTGCTGACGCTTTAAGGGCCGCGTGGGGCAAGAGGAGGGGCACAGGATTGAGAGGATTAAAGCTTTTCATGTTTATTACGTAATCATTGAGCATCGTCCATAGGTGAGTACAGCGAAACCTGCAGGGATGACAAAACACCATTATTATTATTATTTTTTACAGTTCTTACCCTCTCCCCTAAAATGCAGAGTTATTTGGCATAAAGGTTTACATAAAGAAGTTATTGCGTTTGGGTAAAAGTAAAACTCCAATCTACAAATTCACCTCCCTCTCTTTCAAAATGTTGTCTCCAACTTCAGACCCTTCTCATCCACACTGACAGATGGTGAAGAACGACTTGTCTCCATCAGCTGGGAACCGCCAGCGGTGTCTTTGTGCGTGCGTCCGTCAGCACGGGAGGAAGGTTACAGGGATCATCACTCAGGCGTCCTCACTGGACTAAAGCCTGGGAACCAGACCAATGGGGACCATTCACATCCAGCAAATGGGAACCAGACCAATGGGGACCATTCACATCCAGCAAATGGGAACCAGACCAATGGGGACCATTCACATCCAGCAAATGGATCCCGGTACTCCGAAACTGGAACCAGAGTCTCTCGCTTGGTTTCTTGTATTTTTAGATAGTAGTTAGTTAGTTTTTTTTTTTTTCGTATTGGTCTTTTTGTCACTTTTCTGGAAAACCTACATATAAGAAGATGAAGATATAAGAAGTGGTGCTGGGTAATTAACGGAATATCATCACGTATATTATTTACATGATGATTTAAATACCTTGGTTATTATTGTCTATAGCACATTTTTCAACCTTTAATTGCATTGCATCCATTTGGAATTTGGAAACAAACCCCATTATGTGCACAAGCGCTGCTAGTTGGAGAGTTAAAAAAAAAGAGAAAACACTTCCTTCCCGGGGCTGACAGCTCCTTTTCACATCCAAAATGATGACGGTGTATTATCCACAGTCTCCTAATCGGCCACAGGAAATTTCAGATGCGCGGTCTGCAGATGACCTTGACTCGCTCTCCCTCTCTCAGCGGGATGTGCAACACTGAGAATTTAATCCGTGATGGGGCACTCTCTGAGTTCGAGGATTACCTTTTTTTTTCATGCTCTGTTTGAAAAGCTTTCACAGAGAGAACAGTGAGAGAGGGAGATTTGGTGATCACCCCAATAGAGATATTGATTTGTTTAGACCTGATATCAACCCCCAGGCAAGATTTCAGAGAAAACACGTGAGAAATGTAGTGAGTGCTGACAGCTCATCAAAAGAGGTGTTGAGGGCCAGCGGCCCCGTGTTGGCTGCTCACAGGGTTTGGCTGTTGGCTCCGGTCCACGCTCCCCCTTTCCGACAGCACATGTTTGTACCTCGGTGGATTTCTGCATGTTTGTTTTTCTGGTAATTACATATGCTGTAAATCAAATATATAAAATAAAAAAACTGTGATTGGTTCTTTCATTTCTCACACTTCGTACTTCATGCTCGCTCGCAAACAAGGCCGACGTCTTGAAAAAAATTGCATTTACTGGAGGTGTCATGTCGTCTGGCGGAAAGGCGGCCTGCAGCAGAACTCAATTACAGCCTCCCTGTGTAGGCAGGAGAAACACACAGGCAGCACATGAACAACTGAACTACCTCCTCTCTGATGATTTCATCAGTTTCTGAGCAAAGAATATTGCAAAGGAAACTGCCTACTAAGAAAGTGAAGAATGGAAATATGATGTTTGGTTGGTTGGGTGGGTGGCCGTGTTTTTAGCTCCTTGCCTTGGTGTTTTCAGACAGACATCATCTACTCAAACCTTTTTTTTCGCTGGGTCCACCGTTGTAAGAGTATTCTTTTTTACATATAGTTACAAATAAAGAATCCCTGACTTCCAAAGAGAGTTTAGGAAGCCCAGGATTCTACAGTAAGTTGTTAATGTAACCTTTAAATCTGTAACAACGAGTGTTATTATTTACTTGTCCGAATTGTAGAGGTTGAGGTTGTGTCATAGGCCATTAAGACCGACAATAACAGTAGGTCCACTTAACGAGAGCAAGCATAAGAGCTTCTCGTATCTGCTTCCATCAGGATGTAAACGCGTCCTCATTGCGTCGCCTCACGCTTGGTCTCGGTGGTCCGATTTACTTCCCAAAGTCCAAAGACAAGTAGGCTGGAAAGTAGATTAGGAATTAGGTAAAGGCCCTCAATGCAACTCTTTGGGACAAACAATATCTGCGAGCAGTAGAGTTTCAGGAGCCCTGAACGGCGTCCAAGACGTCGCTTTTGTTCAATGCAACACTAGCAATTGGTTTTTGCATTCACTTCAGCACCTAGGGGAATCGTCCATTATGTCTGCAAGCCCGAGTTTATCTTTCACTAAACTGTCTCCCCGCCAGATAACATGAATTCTCTCTGATAAGAAACACAACTGACGTTTTACAAGCACAGCAGCCTGAATGCAGGTTCATTTGTCATTTTATCAGCATGACTGAAAGAAAAGATTAATACACCCAGTTTGTGCCTCACATGCATCAGGATACGTCCAGTGAGATGATTTACTGTCACAACCGTCACAAAAACCTGCTTCCTCCTTTGGAGAACGACTTCCGTAGCGCATGGATTGAGAAACAAACCACTGGCAAAGAGGGAGAGTTGGGTTGGGTTGATAATAACAAAAATAAATAAAGATTTTTTTTAAATTACCCTCTGAGCTATAAAGGCATAAAAAGATATTTGGCCACAGCTGATCATTAGAAGGATCCATGAAGGGCCTCTTTGACTGGATGGGAAAAACAACACTGAATGCAATGGGAATGTATTTGCAAGAATAATCAAGAATGTATGTTTTTACCCAAGTGACGTGTTTTCCATTTGAAGACTTTATCAATTAGAATTTCATAATTTGTTAAAAACATGGACATTTCAGCCAGCAATAACTTGTTGGTGTGAAACACTGTTGATCTTTAGGATGGAGAGACATGCTATAGATGTTCTCTGTACCCGAATAGGCTGATAAATAAAATTACAGTAATGACAATTAGACTGACAGAATTATACGTTGAATTTAAGCGTAGCTGAAGAACCACGTGAGGGGAATGGCGAGTCTTGTTGTCTTGCATTATGTTGTTTATCCATTGGGAAGCTTGGGTTTGGTAACGAGTGCACTCAAGGGAAAGAACTCGTAAAAATTAAAATCTCGTAATGTAAAGAACGGAGAACGGAGACCCTTTGATAATGATGCTGCGTTCATTGGTATTTATGTGAATACTACAAATATCAATACTGATTTTATTATTATTGCAAATATTCAGTGGGTTTTAATTTCTACCGCTGTCTTCTTTTTTCACCTTTTTAAAAATATATTTTTAATTTGTGTATAATTTTGTCACGGGTGTTTTATTTCCCTTTATTGTACGGAATGCTCCATGCATTTACCGAGAATTGTTTCATTGTACACAACTTTAATAAAAACAATAAAAATTCTCTGGATACGTTCTCTTAGATTTCTCTGTTTTTGTAAAAAGCAGAAGTCAGGAAATCAGCGGTGGTGACGTAACGCCGGAGGGGGCGGGGCTCTGCGTCTGCGCCGACCAGTAGCAGCGCGGCGTCGTTCCAGTGTCCCAGCGAGCTGAGAGAGAAAAAAAGAAAAAGAAAAGAAAAAAACCGACCGATCAGACGAATAACGGTACACGCCGAATATTTATGCAGCCGATCCCCGCGTGTTCCCGCATCGCACGCGCCGCTCGAGATGCGCACGTGAATAAATGCGTTCGGAAACGGGCGCGCGGATCGGCTTCTCGGGGCGGACGAAAAACCAGCGGCCCACCATTGTCTGCGTGGAAATAAGAATGGCCTGGATGTGCAAGGTAAGAGGAAGAGGAGGAGGAGGAGGAGGAGGAAGAGGAACGCACACATTGCAACCAGCGAGGGGAAAGGGGAGGAAAGGAGAATCTCCTGGCGCGGGTCGCCTTTACTGTGCGTGTCAGCAGATGTGAAACGCGAGCCGGCTGTGATGCTGCGCGGAGGCTCCTGCTTGCTGTCCGCTCGCCTGGCTGTTTTTTTTTTTGGGGGGGGGGGCACTCTGAATTTGGGGTTTAGGCTCGTGCAAAGGAAGGAACAGAAAAGGCCGTGGTGTTTTTTGTGTTGCATTTGGTTGACGTTTGTGTGTGTTGCCTCATGTTCAGCGGTTCACGCTGTGTGAGGACTTGTGTGCAACATCAGCAACAGCTGCCTTACAAACGAGGAGAAAGTTTTCTACAGTTCCCCAGCATCTCTCTCCGTCCTCTTCCATCCTTTTCACATGTTCGGATCAAACTCAATCATTTACAGATGTTGACATTCACAACACCAGAAGAGCTTAGCTGGTCGTATATTGTACAAACACACACAAGTTGTCAACTTTCCTCTGCTCATTTCTCTACAAAATGTCAGAAAGCCGTGAAATATGTATATAAAAGTTGTTTACAAGTCTACGGTGACGTCTAGTTGTATCAAACAAACTGTCAAAGAGAAAGCTTCACGTTTGATAAATAGAAATGAGCAAATGTGTGGTATTTTTGATTAAAATGACTCGCTGGTTTAATCGATAATATTTCATTTGACATTTTTCTAAATTAGCCGAGTAATAGACTAGTAGTTTACTACAGAAATATTTCTGTTATACATCATTTTCCCTCTTTGTAATTTCTTGATGTAGCGTTTGATTAAATGTCACATAAGAGCAGAAAACAGTCTTTGAGAGTCCACGGTTTCCTATCAAATTGCTTCTAGAGTCTGACCAACAGTTCAACACATAAAGTTATTCAGGTTTCTAATAGTAGATCACAGCTAAGTAACAGCAAAATCTTACATTTGAGGAACTGGAACCAACTGAAATAACTCGCTTGACTTGCAGAAGTTGTTTTGTCCAAAGGGTATTCCATGTGCAGTGATATAAAGCAGAGGCAAGAATCAAATCTTAATATTGTATCTGGAACTGATGATGAATGTTAATGTCAGTAGTGTTCAATAATCCTGGTGACGATGTAACCAAACTTATTTGTGTGCCACAGTTTGAATGACTGAAGCAAACTGAAGGGAGCATACAGTGAAGTCCTACATGTACCCAAATCTGACAGGCCGAGTCCAATCTGTTATAATCAGACTCATTAGTATATTAATCTGTCGGTGATTGAAGTCTGATCGGCGAGCCCCCGTTTGGCTTTGTATGGTAAAGCAGCAGTCTTCGTTTGAGCTGCTGGATAGAGCCACGATCGATTTGGAAAGCAATGACAAGGGAACCAAACATGCACCGTTAGCCCAAAAATATCAGTCCATATGTGTGTTTTTCTTTTCTTAATTGTATCAGATCACGTTTCAGTCCAAGTTGAAAGAACAAGGATTTAATGGTTTATGGCTGAACTCTCCATGCCCGCCCCCATTTACTTAAACACAAGTGGCACCAAAGTCTGGCATCTGGATCACCCGTCCTTTATCAATGCAGCAGCAGACATGAAGTCCACTTGGACCCAGGCAGGACCTCTTTTATTAGTTCATTGATCTACAAATGATGGCGGTCAGTTGTTGAATCTTTGAAATGTAAAGTAAATTGCGAAAAATGGTCACTACAGGTAAATGTCAACATTATTTTCCGAGCATTTTCCGATATTACCGTTACTTTCTTTCAAGACAAAGAAATGTAGCAAAACCTTACATAGATACATATATTACTAACCCATAGCATTATATTTTATTTTGCACTGTTGTCTTGTCGTCCATTGTCGTCCACTGTCTGCTGTTACGCACCAAACCGCCAAGTCAAATTCCTTGTATGTGTGACATATTATGGCAATACATGTTTCCTGATTCCTGATCCTGAAATGCGAGATTGGAAGTTTTATTTTTCATTTTTCCTTACAGAAAAAGGTTAAGCAATTGATTAAAACGTTTTATCTCTAATGTAATGAACAGTGAAACTCTGGAATTGTCTGAAAATTTCACCATGTTCTAAATTTCCCACAAAGTGAACATTTGAAGAACTGCGATTTGTTCCTATTGAGCACAAACAAACTTGCTTGTTGGAATCACTCAATTATACACAATTATAATCACAGTGTGATTCTGAGGAAACCCAGTTAATGCTAATATGAAATGATCTCATGATCTAATGCACAGGGACACCTGTAATACAGTAAAGGGTGAATCCATCATCATCATCATCATCATCATCATCATCATTGTAGTGGAAGAACCTCTGCGTCATTCTGCTCCATTCGGTCCACATGTTTATTCCTCTTTTTAGCACCTCCCAGTCTCGGTTTGGTCTTGTCAGACTCGATCTGTATTTATTTATTTTTGACCAGTTTTACAGTTTCACATTTGAGAAATAAGTTTAAAAGGCACTTTGTTGCCCGTCAATCGTCCCCCCGCCCCCACGGGAAGAAACGCGTCTGTCAGCGACTTGTCACTTTACAAACGCTCGGGCTGTTTTTGTTATCCATGACGGGAGATCACTTCACGCTAGATTTGACACTGTAGTATTATATTCTTTCTCATAAATTGGACAAGAAAATGGAAGATATAATTATATGGTACAAACTGCTGAGGGATGGACAAAGTAAATGAGCTGTAACATTTAATTAAATGACACCAGCTTTCTTGTTACATTAGTCAGATGTGCCCAGCGGCTATTAGGTACTTAAATAAATCCCGTTGAACTCACGGTCAGACTGAAACACCCATAAGACAACTTAATCTACCGGCCGACCGGTGCTCCTAATAAACTGTGGATAACCTCATCGGCTATTGGTACGTGATTGAGTCGGTATCTGCGAATACAGTTCATATGCTAAACTGAGTGAAGGCTCCAACTAGATCGGCTACATATTTCATCTTTAACCAAATGTTTGTCTTGTTATTTCTAACCATTAACTGTAAAATAAATGCAGTGGACTGAAAAGTACAGAATTTCCTCATGAAATGTAGCGATCTAGAAGTATTAAAAAGTAGCAAAATCCATCTAGTTAATTAAAGTACTTGATCAAATGTGAGTTATTCCCCCCCCCCGGGGGGTTCAGGTGCATGCGAGCGTGCATTCCTTAAAGCGGCATCCCGTCCCAGAGAGGCTGATGGCACAGAGCTGCTGCTTTGGGTTCCCTTCTCTGTTTACGCCCTGGGTTTTTTAATCGGAGCGAGTTCACACCGTGAAGAGCCTGCGCTCGAGCCGGGAGAAAAGGCTGCGGCCGTTGTCCTCCATCGTCGTCAACGGGTCAGCGTGAGCATCGTGGAAAAAGATGGTAATTCTACTGCGTGCTCCTGTAGCGGCCGGCGACAGAACAAGGCTGGTTCAGGCGGGTGGGTGCGAGTAGAAAGAACACAAAGGAGGCAGATTAATGAATGTAGGCACACACACACACACACACACACACACACACACAGTTATTTGTGTGTGTGTGTGTGGAGAGGTGTTGAAACGGGGAATGCAGAGAGTGTCCCAGTTCTTCAGAGTTTCACAGATGAATGGCAATTCAGTCCCCCCGTGTCCCCGTGTGATTGTGTTACAACAGAAGGCAGGCTGATAAAAAGCGCCACAGTTTTGGGAAGAGTTTTAGGCGCCGGCAGGATGTTGAACGAGGCTGCGGTTTGTTTTCAAAGTTTTATCAAATCTCAAATCAAATCTGTTTTTCTTCTTGAATATAAAGTCCACACAAGGTCTTTGATTTCAAAGTTCTGGGTGCGTTGGGTCCTGAAGGAGAACCTGTTTGGCTTGTAATAGTTTTAGTCGATGATTCAACTAACTTTTTCTTTTTTCAAGTTGTTTTATAGCAAAGGTTTAGTTTTACTCTTCAATAAGTGAGATACAAATCAATAAAGAGTGAAAATCCCTCCAGAAAGGATTATTGTTACAAGTTGTATTTGATAGTCCAACTACGGCTGTAATATTAATACCTGCTGGGTAACTGAATCGTAATTAATAATGGTGATGCAGTTTTATTCATTTTTCTGTTGCGCTGCCTACATTAAACTGGTTATATGTCACGTCGGTGTAAGAATGTTAGTTTATTGTAGAAACTTTGTATTGTTGTGTATTTTGTTTGGTAAGTTACAGGAAACCGTACATTATGCAAACCAAGATACAACGTCTCCATTAACTAGTTTTTCCACCAGAAAGCAACTCGGCCTTGAAATAACTTTTAAGTCATTCTCTGAGATCTAAAGATGAAAAAAACGCCAATAGTCTTTTTTACATCGTATCTCAAATACAGTGGAAAAAGGATCACTTTGAACCCAGTTAGAAAATCGTTTCCACTAATGTGTCCGAGAAACCTTTTATCCTGGTTGAAAAAACAAATATGCCTCAAAGCTGTGGAACAATTCATATTCCCTTGAATTCAAATTTGAAGTTTGACTTTGGCTGAACTCTCCACTGAATGAAAAAAAGAAAAGTCTTTGTCCCTGCTGCTGCCGTCCGTTCTCTAAAACGCCTGTAGAGCCCACATGGGGAACCATTTACGCGCGTGGCTTCTTTATCGTGGTAATGTAGCCCACATCTCACACACACACACACACACACACACACACACACACACACACACACACACACACACACACACACACACACACTGCTGATGGAGAAGCTATCACGGTTTAGCTCGTTCCCACTGCTCGGGGAAGGGGGATGACCTCGCTCCACATATGGCCGTTAATCCAGCGGCCCCGTGGTCGTCGGCCGTGGTCGTTGGAAGCGGGCCGGCGGATCCGTCGCTCACACCAGCAGCCTCGCCAGCATCTGGCAGGACTTAAGACTTTGCCTGATCTCCGGTCAGGTAGTCGCTGGTGACCCTCGCGTGGTTTAATCACGCGCCGCTTTGAGCGCTCATTTTCTTTC